CGTACATTATGAATTGTCATTCCATCCACCCTTCTACCACCCTCTGCCCACCCTCCCCATCCTCAGTAGTCCATCGTCTACTCTCAGGGTTTTTTTCTGAATTTCCACATGAGAAAAAAAAAACATGCAGTATGTCTTTGGCCAATTTTGCCTAATATGATATTCTTCGTTTCTATCCATTTTGTTCCAGTGACAGGATTTCATTCTTCTATATGGCCAAATATTCCACTGTGTGTGTGTGTTCACACACACATTTTATCCATTCATCTTCCGAGGCACTTAAGCTGATTCCATGTCATGACTATTATGAATAGTGACACAATAAACATGGATGTGCAGGTATTTTTTTATATGTTGACTTCATTTCCTTTAGATATGTACCCAGGAGTGGGATAGGCTGGATCATTTCGTTCTAGTTCTAGTTTTTCTTGTTTTGAAACAGAGTCTTTCTGTGTAGCCCAGGCTTCCCTCACCTCTTGCCTCATCTCCCAAGTGCATGTGGCACCATGCCTGGCTTATTTTTAGGTTTTCAAAGAACTTTCATACTGCTCTTCAGTGGCTGTTCTAATATGCACTCCCACTAACGGCGTGTAAGGCTCCTTTTCTCCACAGCCTTGGCCTCGCTTGTTATTTTTTTCATTTTTGATAATGGCCATCCTCATTGGGGAACATGGCATCTCACTGTAGTTCTGATTCACTTCTCCCTAGTGGGCATTTTTCATATATTTATTGGCTATTTGTATTTCGCTTTTGTCTCCTGAGATCATTTGCTGCCTTTAATTGGGTTACTTGGTTTTTGTTAAGTGTTTTGATTACTGGGGTCTGAAGTCAGGGGCTCACACTTGCTAGGCAGGCACTCTACCACTTGACCCGCTCCACCAGCCCTTGGCTTTTGTAGCTCTTTACATATTCTGGATATTAATAGCTGGAAAATGCTTCTTCCCTCACCCCATAGGTTTTCTTTTCACTCCACTGACCGTTACCCAGAAGTTTTTTGGTTTGATGTAATCCCGTTTGTTGCTTTTGTCTTTTGTTTCCTTTCCTAACCAGGAAAAACACTGTGTGTACCAATAGCTTGAAGTGTTTCCTCTAGTAGTTTTATGGTTTTGAGTCTTTGTTTTGGGTCTTTATCCATTTTGAGTTGATTTTTATACAGGGTAGAGGTAGGGATCAAATTTCAGTCTTCTCCATGTCTACATCCAGTTTTCCCAGCACCATTTGTTGAAGAGGCTGATTTGGAGGATCAGTTGGTGGAGAAGTGAGGATTTGGTTCTGAGTTCTCTGTTCTGTTCCGTTGGTCTTTGTGTCTGTTTTTATGCTAATACTGTGCTGGTTTTGTTACTGTGGCCCTGCAGTGTGTCTTGCAATCAAGTATGGTCATGCCCCAAGCAGTGTTCTTTTTGCTCAGATTGCTTTAGCTATCATTTGTGCTTCCAAATGAAGTTTAGGATTGTTTTTTTCGGTTCTATGAAAAATGCTATTAGTATTTTGATGGGGATTGCACCTGCAGATTGCTTTGGGTAGTATGGACATCTTAGCAGTATTCTTCCAGTCCATGAACATGGAAGGTCTTTCCATCTTTTAGTGTCCTCTTCAATGTCTTTCTGTAGTGTTTTGTAATTTGCATTGTAGAAGTCTCTCATTTCCTTGGTTAAGTTTATTCCTAGATATTTTATATTTTTGCAGCTATTGTGAGTGGGATTGCTTTCCTCACTTTTTTTCCTCAGGAAATTTCCACTACTGATGTATAGAAAAGCTACTGGTTTTTCTATGTTGATTTTGTATCCTGGTACTTTACTTACTTTCAGTTGTAAGAGTCTTTTGGGGAGTCTAGGTTTTTCTGTGCAAAAATGGAAAATTCAGCTTCTTTCCTGTTTGTATGCTTTCTCTTACCTAATTGCTCTAGCTGAAATTTCCTGTACTATATTAAAGTGCTGAAAGTGGACACCCTTGTCTTGTTCCTGATTTAAAGGAAATCTTTGGTGTTGGCTATGGGTTTGGCAAATATAGCATTTATTATGTTATGATACTTCTATAACTAATTTGTTCAGGACTCTTACCACGAAAAGATGTCATATTTTTATCATGCTTTTTCTACATCTGTTGAGATGTTTATCTGATGTACTGAGTCTATTGATTTGTGTATGTTGAACCATCCTTGCATCCCTGGCATGAAACCAACTTGAGGATGTGCATGATCTTACTGATGTGCTGTTGGAATTTGACTTGCATTTTGTGGAAGATCTGTGCATCTCCATTCACCAGGGATATTGGTCTATAGTTTTGTTGTATCCTTGTCAGGTTTTGGTAACTAGTTAATGCTTTATATCCTCTTGGTTTGATTTTGGTAAGTCATATGTGTTCAGAAATTTGTCCATTACTTCTAAATTTTCCAATTTATAAGCCTACAGTTTTTCAAAAACAATCTCTAATGATTCTTTGAATTCCAGTGGTATCAGTTTACAACTGACATGTCCCCTCTTTCATCTCTAATTTTAATTGGGCCTTCTTTCTTTTCTGCCTAGTCTGACTAGATGTCATATTCATTTGATTCTTTCTGGTAGCTTAGCCTCTATTCCACTTACTTATGCTCTTACAATTTTCTTTCCATCTACTGATTTGAGGTTTGGTTTGTTCTTGCTTTTCTAAAGTCTTGAGATATGTCATTAGGTTGAGTTTCATTTTCTTGATGTAGGCACTCATTACTATAAAATTCCCTGTTAATACTGTTTTGGCTGTCTCCCACAGGTTTTAGTATGTTCTATTAACATTTTCTTTAAAGGAATTTTTTTTATTTTGCTGCTGACTTCTTCAGTGACCTACTGTTCAAAAGTGTGTTGTTCAGTCTTTGTATTTATATAATTTCTACAATTTCTCTTGCTGTTAACTTAGTTTCACTCCACTGTAATCAGAAAACATTCAGAATATTAATTTTCACTTTTAAAAATTTGTTAAGATTTTGTGTTCTATTCTGAAAAAGGTTTCATGTGCTCATGAAACGTGTATTCTGCAGTTGTGGAATAAAGCTTATGTAAATGTTACTTCCATTTGATCTATAGTTAATTCGTGTTTCTTTGCTGATCTTTTTGACTGATCTATGTAGGTCATAGTGGTGTACTGAAATTTCAACTATTGTATTGGAGCCTGTCTCTCTCTTGAGGTCTAATAGTATTTGTTTTATAAAATTGGGTGCTCCGACATTTGGTACGTGTAGATTTGTAATAGTTATGGCTCCCTTCATCATTACCTAGTGACCTTTGCCTCTTCTGTTTGTGTCTTAAAGCCTGTTTTGTCAGATTAACTACAGCTGTTCCTCTTGCTTTTGGATTCCATATGCTTGGAACATAATTTTCCATCTTTTCACTTCTACTGTGTCTTTACTGGCGAGATAAGTGTTTTGTAGGGGGCAGGGTTTTTTTGTTTTTAATTCATCTAGTGCATGTCTTCTAATTGGTGAATTAAGACCATTTACAGTGGGAGACTGAGGCAGAAGGATCACAAGTTCCAGGCCTGCCTGAGCTACATAGTGACACAAATACCATTAACCTTCAGTTACTATGGAAAGGGCATGGACTTGTTCCTGTCAATTTTGTTCATCTTCTCAATGTTGTGAATATTCTTTTGATTTACTGTACTGTTGTTTCTTTTCTATTTGGGATTTTTCATATCCTCTCATGGTGGTGGTTACCTTTCTTCCACTTCTGGGTGCAGCTTTGGTAAGACTGGTCAAGTGTCATGAGTTCCCTTAGTCTTGCAAGGTCTGTTTCTCCTTTGATTCTGGGGGATAGCCTTGCTGGACATAGTAATCTTGGTTGGCATTTATTTTCTTTTAGGACCTAAAATCTACCATCCCATGCCCTAGGGTTCTTGCTGATAAATCAGCAGCTGAGTCTAGTGAGTTAGGGGTTTTCATCATTTTAATTCCATAAATGCATACAGTGTGCTTTGAACAAGTCCGTCCCCTCCATTATATTCCCTACCTACCCTCTTTCCATGTTTGGCTATGCTGTGTGTGTTACATACTTCAGTCCTCTCCCCCTCAGAATACTTTCCCCTCTCTCTGATCTACAGCACCCCCCATTCACATCCCATCATTACTATTTTGGGTCTAGATTCAATGAATGAGCAAAAAACATGGTGATACTTGGCTTATCTCACTCAACATGATCTCCAGTTTCATTCATTTTCCTGTAAATGAAAATTTCATTCTTTATTGCTGAGTAGTATTCCATGATTTTGCGTGTGTGTGTGTGTGCGTGTATACACATCATACTTTCATCATTTGTTGGGCACCTCAGCTGATTCCAGAGTTTGGCTATTGTGAAGACAACTTGAACAAGGGCATGCAGGACTTCTCTCCTGTATATTGAGTTACACTCCTTCAGCTATATGCCCGACAGTATATGAGGGTTTCTTCTACGCTGCATCCTTGCCTGCATTATTTGCTAGATTTTGGTTTGTGTGTGGGTTTGTTTTGTTTTTCATTGTTGTGGGTTCTTTGTGTGTGTGTGTGTGTGTGTGTGGTGTGTAACTGGGGTTTAAACTTAGGACTTTGTGCTTGCAAAGCAGGTGATCTCCTGCTTGAGCCTTCCATTCTGTTTTACTCTGGTTATTTTGGAAATGAGGTTTCGCAAACTACTTCCCCAGGTGGGCCTTGGACCAAAATCATCCTAGTTTCAGCTTCCCACATAACTAGGAGTACAGGCGTGAGCCACCAGTGCCTACCTCTGTTAGTGTCGTTTTGATTTGCATTTCCTCTTTTGGCCAAGGATGCTGAACATTTCGTAAACTCGGGCCTCGCACTTGCTAGGCAGGCACCCGTCAGGCCTATTTCATATTTGTGATGTATACCACAGACAAGTTTAATTGTACCTCCTTGAAGCATTTTGAGGGCTAATTAATTATTGCTCATTATATCAACTGTCTGTCTGACATAATGCACTCCTGAGAACTAGAAAGAAATCAGTAGCCTTGGGTCTGCAGTGTCACCTTCTTTACAGATTGGCTGCAATGCTGTCAGCTGGGCTCCTGCTGTTGTACCTGGAAGCCTCATAGACCAGCCATCAGGGCAGAAACCCAATTACATCAAGAAATTTGCATCAGGTGGCTGTGATAACCTCATTAAGCTGTGGAGGTGAGTGGGTTTGTATAGACTTGTCTTCAAGGGGACACTTCCACCTTAACATGGCTCAAGCATGGTCCACACTTTTGCACTCCTGCCAGGCGCATTTCTGGAGGGTTTGAAGCATTTTGAGGGCTAATTAATTATTGCTCATTATATCAACTGTCTGTCTGACATAATGCACTCCTGAGAACTAGAAAGAAATCAGTAGCCTTGGGTCTGCAGTGTCACCTTCTTTACAGATTGGCTGCAATGCTGTCAGCTGGGCTCCTGCTGTTGTACCTGGAAGCCTCATAGACCAGCCATCAGGGCAGAAACCCAATTACATCAAGAAATTTGCATCAGGTGGCTGTGATAACCTCATTAAGCTGTGGAGGTGAGTGGGTTGTATAGACTTGTCTTCAAGGGGACACTTCCACCCCACTTAACATGGCTCAGCCATGGTCCACACTTTTGCACTCCTGCCAGGCGCATTTTCTGGAGGGTTTCTGTACAACTGAGTGAATGAAACGGGGAAGGTGGAACCTGTGCAGTGGGGAGTTGCTCCCCAAGGGACTCTCTCCCTCTGTTGTTCTACAGGGAGGAGGAAGATGGCCAGTGGAAGGAGGAGCAGAAACTGGAAGCACACAGCGACTGGGTTCGAGATGTGGCCTGGGCCCCATCCATCGGCCTTCCCACCAGCACCATCGCCAGCTGCTCTCAGGTCAGCCCTGACCCTCGAGTGGGAAAGTCCTAGGTGGCAGGAGAGCAGTGGCACCTTTCACCTATGCAAAGACTGAAAGGAGCAGAGTCAGGTCATTGTGCGGGGACGTGTGGGGTAGAAGTGGTTTGCTGTTCCTAAGAGGAGGGCCGAATTCAAGTCAAGCTTCACTGCCCCTGATGCTGGACTTTTTTCCTAGGATGGTCGCGTGTTCATCTGGACCTGTGATGATGCCTCAGGCAACATGTGGTCACCCAAGTTACTGCACAAGTTCAATGATGTTGTGTGGCATGTGAGCTGGTCCATCACAGCCAACATCCTGGCCGTCTCGGGTGGAGACAATAAGGTACACCCTTTTCCCAGGGGCAGAGTGGACAGGACCCTGTTCTTTCTCACTAGAGGTGCATCGGTTTGAGCATGGCTCCCTTACATTAAATCTCACGCCTCTCGTGCCAGAGCGGACAGTTCTAGAGAACGTTGCACAGCACTAGAACTCAGCTCCTGCTTTTGCCCCCTATGGAAAGAAGAATAGGAGGTTTCTTTGATTTTTTACTCTCCAGAGCTGTGTGTTTTTCTGCAGTTAACATAAAAACTGTACACTGGCTTATCTGGTGAGGTAAATTCCTACCCTGTGGTGTTGGTGTTCGTGAATCACTGGGCTGTGGCCCAGTAACTCATGGTGGTGCACACTGACTTTTGCAGGTGACACTGTGGAAGGAGTCAGTGGACGGGCAGTGGGTGTGCATCAGTGACGTCAACAAAGGCCAGGGTTCCGTGTCAGCTTCCATCACAGAGGGCCAGCAGAATGAGCAATGACGGCACAGGCAAGGCCTGGTTTCTCCACCTGCAGGACTGCCCATTCCTGGGACAAGTGACCAAACAACTGCAGAGAGCTCCTGTGCCCAAGAATAATTACAAATGCCACCAATATGGTTTGTAATTTACAGTCCAGCTGAAAGTACAAATGACTTCACAAATGACTTCATCTATTATTTTAAAATATTTTTTGGCCATTTTTATGTACCTTTGGGTATTCAAAGTAAGTAAATAAAATCATATTGCTTATAAATTCTTCCTATTTTATCCCACAACCAGCTACATTGCAGTTCTATGCTGGATGGGTCCTGCAGTGATGATGCTAGCCCCTGTTCTCCTCTACAGAATGGATGCAAATGAATGACTTTCAACTTTTGAGGCTGGCCAGAAAAGACCAGCTTTTCTAAATTTTTCACACTACCTCATTTAAGAATCACAGCAAGGGGTATGTCTCCACCTCACTGAGAAAACTGGCATGTAATTGGACCCCACTGTAGAACCAGCGATTTGGTCACTCACTTCAGGAAACAATGTGCAAAGGTATGGACCCCTGTTTTTTTGAAATGCCTAGGAAGGCACCTCTCCATCTACTTCCTGTGCACAGACTACTATGAGTTCCAGTTAGCCGTGCTACATGGCTGCCTTCCCTAAGTTCTGTGCTCCACAGGGCCGACTAGGATTCGTGTAGTGCCTGCCATACTCAACAAATGAATGAGAAGGAACTCAGAGGGTCAGTGACTTCCACCACTGAGGATCAGTTCAGATCTTAATGGGCATAAGTGAAAACTCTGCTCAACAGTTTGTGCTTGGAGTGGCAGGTAACGAAGTACACTGAGCGAAGTTCTGACCAAGACTGTTGCTTCAGCAGTCCGTGTTACATTAGCTGTAAAGGCTGCTCTAGACCTTAGGAGTAAACCTCAAGAAGCTCAAACTCTCACTCTAAGGAAGCATCACAAATCCAACACTTGACAACCTAAAATTCACAATGTCTAGCATCCAACCCAAAGTTAAAAGCAGAAAAATGACTCCTAACCAAGAGAAAAAAAAAGTCCATGTGGAATTTCTACAAGTGAGAATGTAAATATCTGAGGTGAACATTAACCCTGGCTGGCAGGGTAGATACTGGTAGTAGGCTGGACACTACTAGGCTGGTAGTAGGTTAGATACTACAGCAGGAAAAATCAGCAAGTTTGAAGACACAGCAGTAGAAACCAGACATACCTGGACTGGAAGAGCACCTGCTTTATAAGCATAAAGCCCCGAGTTCAAACCCCAGCCCCACCAAAAAAAAAGAAACCGGACATACTTAAGTGCAGGAAAAAAAGAGCCAAGCAATTGTGACCTATAGGACAATACTGAGTAGTCTAAATTTTGTGTAAGTTGTCCTGGGCAGGGGAAAAGGACAGAAAAAAAATTTTCCACACTAGATTAAAACTAAAACCTTATAGATCAAGGATAATCAGAAAGTCCCAAACAGAAGAAAACCTAAAATATACATATAAACCTCATAATCAAATTGCTAAAATAAAAAACATAAAAGCTGCCAGCGACACATACTGTATACAGAGAAACGACTATGGCAGCCAACTTTTCATCATAAATCATGAAAACCAAGCAGGGTATTGGGAGCTCACACCTGTCAGATACTTCAGAGGCAGAGATTGGGAGGATTGTTGTTTGAGGCCAGCCTAGGCAAATAGTTCTTGAGACTCCATCTCCAAAATAACCAGAGCACAATAGACTGGAAGTGTGGCTCAAGCAGTAAACACTTGCTTTGCAAGCATCCAGCCCTGAGTTCAAACCCCACTCCCACCAAAAAACATATTCATTTTCCCTTACTATACCACAATACCTAGGATAACTTAAAAACAGACAGGTTTATTTTAGCTCACGGTTTCAGAGCTTCACTCCGTGACTGCTTGAGTCTACAATAAAGCAGGACACCATATGGCAGCAGCACATGGCAGAGGAGGCCTATCCACTTCATGGCAGTCGGGAAGCAAAGAGAAAGAAGGTCCCCAAGTTGGACATGGCAGCTCATGCCACCTAAATATATGGGAGGCTGAAATCAGAAGCATTGAGGTTCAAGACCAGCCCAGGCAAAAAAGTTAGCAATGAAAAAGCTGCATGGTCACACGCACCCATCATCCCAGCTATGTGGGAAACTTAAGTAGGAGGACTGGGCTGGTGGAGTGGCTCAAGTGGTAGAGCACCTATCTAGCAAGAGGCATAGACCCCGAGTCCAAACTCCAATACTGAGAAAGTTTAAAAAAGCCGAGAAGTCAGACACTGTGGCTCATTCCTGTAATCCTAGCTACTCAGGAAACAGATCAGGAGAGTCATGGTTTGAAATCAGCCAGGCCAAATAATTTGAGAGACCCTATCTTGAAAAAACCCATCACAAAAAAACGGGCTAGCAGGGTAGCTCAAGTGGTAAGAGTGCTTGCCTAGCAAGCGTGAGGTCCTCATTTCAAACCCCAGTGCTGGAAGAAGGAAAAAAAGAAAAAAAAAAAAGCAAGATGGTAGATTTAAACCAAACTAGATGGCTGAGTACAGTGGCATGTGCCTGTCATCGTGGCTCCTCTAAGAAGCTGAGACAGGAGGACTGCTTAGTCTGGGAGTTCAAGACCAGCCTAGGCAGCATAATACCCCTATCTCGAAAAAAAAAAAAAAAATCTCAATGCTTCCCTTAGGGCTGAGGGTTTAGCTCTATGGTAGAGCACTTGCCTAAGATGCATGAGGCCCTAGCTCCGATCCCCAGCACCACAGTAAATATCAGAATGCCAGGTGTTGTAGAACACATCCGTAGTTTCAGATACTCGGAGCCCAGAAGTTTGAGACCATCCTGGGCAAAATAGCCAGATCCTGACTTTTAAAAAGCCATTGCCTGTAATCCCCAGCACTTAGGGAGGTTGAGGCAGGAGGATTGTGAGTTTGAAGTCAGCCTGAGCTTCCAAGAAAGATCCTGTCTAAAAAAAGAAAGAAAAACTTGAACTGTATACTGTTTTCATGAAACCAATCTTAAATATAAACATACATAAGTTAAGCAATGGAAAGTTGAGAAAAAGATACACTAAACATGAATCAAAAGAAAGCTCCAGTTCCTACATCAGTATCAGATAAAAACAATTTACGATCAGAACTACAATCAGATAAAGGAGGATGTAATAATAAAAAGATCAATTCATCAAGAAGCAATTTGCATCTAAATCTGTATGCACCCAATAAGAACTTCAAAACATGCAAAACAAAAACAGAACTGAAGAGAAATACTCTATATTTTAGTTAAAGATCCCAACACTCCTGTTTCAGTGACAGGTTTAGAAGCACATCAACCTTTCCCTCGCCTTGACCTAACTGGCAAGTGCAGAACATTCCACCCAACGATGTGGAGGAAGAGTAGAGGGGATGGTGGCAGGAGCCACACTCTCAATGTCCTTTCGTAACTTTGACTTTGGAGCCATGTAAATGCCTTATAATCAATAAATCAAATGAAATCATAGCATTCCCTAAAACCTGAAGAAAGATTGAAGGTAATTTTAGTCATATCAAGTTCATGACATAACAAAAAAGCCTTAAGTGACTTAAGGCTAAATGCAATGACTCATACCTCTAATCCTGGCTACTCTGGAAGCATAGATTGGGAGAATCACAGTTTGAAACCAGCCCAGGCAAAAAGCTCATGAGACCCCCATCTCAACAAACAAGCAGGTGTATGCCTGTAATCCCAACTACAATGGAGGCATAGGTACGAGGATCACGTTCCCAGCCAGCCAGGACAAAAAGCTAGACCCGCCCTGGCTGAAAAATAACCTAAAACCAAAAGTGCTCAGAGCATTGCTCGAGAGGTGGAGCTGTGCCTGAGCAAGCACAAGGCCCTGAGTTCAAACCCCAGTGTGCAGGGGGAGGTCTGCATGTGTACCTGGCTCATACCTTGCACACATGGGGAAAAACAAAAACGCCTAGAAAATAACAGTGTCAGGGACTAAATGAGTTATTAGTAAAAGTTGAACTGGTGATAGATACTCAGACTCAGCATACTGCCCGGTTTTTTTGTATGTTTGAAACTTTCCAGAACATACACAACATACACCTATGTATACATGTACTACACATGTGCGTGCACACACGTGCATATGTGTGCACGCACAGAGAACCTTTATGCTGTTTTCTGCTGGAAAGCAAGCATCACTTTGCCATCAGGACAGAATGGCCTGGACATGTGTTACACTGCGGATCCTGAACTCAGATGAGACCTCAAAACTGCAGTTTTTCTCAGTTTGCCTCAGCGCCGCTCCCAGCAGTCGGGAGACGCCCTGAAGGCCTCCCCAGCCCTGAGGCCCTGTGTCCTCAGAGGTCCAGGGCCTGAGACAGGATTTTTAGCAACTCTAAGAACGGTTCAAGCTCAGCGGTAGAGAGCAAAGTGACAGAGCAAGGGGCCAGTGCTAGTGAGGAATAGGGGGAAAGGCCTGAGGAGGGCAAGTGAGGGTAAGGTGAGGCTGGAGGGCAGGACTGGGGACCTGGGCTGAGTTTAGGACTGAGAGCACAAGCTGTTGGAAAGAAGACACTGAAGACTGGAAGGAGGCAAACCGGGGCTACAACCCCACGATGGCACAAGGGCAGTGCAGAGACGGCTTGGACAGGAGAGAGGCAGCTGGGCTAAGGAGAAAGAGGACCTAAGAGTGAGTCAGGATCACAGAGAATGGCACTGTCAGCACAGAAGCCAGGGTCACAGCAGACCTGAGAGGCCTGCTCTGAACAGAACGTGCTGGAAGAATAACGTACTCACCAGATCTCAAAGACTCAGTATTTAAAAAGTGAACACTTCAATTTGTTGTATTGATTACACAGTGAGCTGAAAATATTTTGAACATCCTGCTTAAATAAAATACAGCATTAAAACTAATTTCACCTGTTTCTTTTTTGTATTTATTCATTTACTTATTTATTTTGAGGCAGGATCTGCCAGGCTAACCATAAAATTATGATCCTACTGCCTCATCCTCCTGAGTGGCTGGGATTACAAGTGTGCTTCACCATGCTTGGCTTTCTTTTTTTGCATTTTTTAATGTGGCTCTTACAAAATTTAAAATTTCACATGATGCTCTTACTTGAGTTTTGTATTATATTTCTATTGGAAACTTTCATACAGTCTTCCCCTGAACTCCTCTCTGCTAGGATTTGTGTGGAGTTCCCAACCTGCTTGCCCCCTTCCCCAGCTGTGAGTGGGCAGCAAGGAACTTTCTGGATGTCCACCTGTCCCCACAGACTTTCCTTCCTCTCCCACTGCCTCCTGTGTGGACTCTGTGGTATGCACCCCCGCTGTTCCCCAGATAAGAGAGAACACAGCACCATGTCGCAGTGTTTGCTTATCTAAGATCAACACCACAGCTCCGGCCTCCAGGGACAGCAGTAAGCGGAGCCTCCTGTTTCAGCAGGTGTGTGGTCACCACAGCTAGGGGATTTCTGCTTGAGGGATTTGGGTGATCGAAAAACCCGCAAGTCTCTGAGGACCCTTGGATTTTCTCCACCATCCCCATCTTCAGCCCCTCTGTGCCCCAGGGTCCGGTGTGGTCTAAGCGCAGGACTGTGGCAGGGCTGTTGGGGGTGCCTGGTGACCATTCTCATCCTGCTGGTGGAGGAGGTGCTTTTTCTGGGAGGTCCTTAGTCCCCACATCTACTGAAGGGCTCAGTCCAACCCAGCCTGTGCTTCCACTATCTCTAGAGTTCCCACCAGGGCCTGATAAAACCCCACTCAAGTCTACCTGCAAAGTCTGGGTGCTCACTTGGAACTTAATCAAATGGGGGGTTTTTTACAGTACTGGGGTTCGAACTCCAGGTCTAACATTTGCTAGGCATGCTCTCTACTACTTGAGAGTCACATTTTTGCTTAAGTTATTTTTCAGACAGCATCTCAAGTTTTTGTCCAGGTCTGGCTTTGGACCAGAATCCTACCTCTAGCTCCTGATCCTCCTCCCTCTGCCTCCCAAGTAGCTGGGATTACAGATGCTAAACACATCTGGCTTATTTGTTAAGATGGGGTCTAACTTTTTGCCCCGGCTAGCCTCAAACCTCCATCTTCCTGATCTCTGCCTCCTGAGGAGCTAGGATTACAGGCATGAGCCACCACACTTGGCTCTTTCCAACACTTTAACTCTGGTTCTGCTTCTCTCCTGTCCAAAAACCTTCAGTGCCCCAACATATATACACACACACACACACACACACACACACACAAAAACACTCTTTGGCCATCCACAACCCTCTTTATGATGCTCACAGCCACCCTTCTCCAAGCCACACAGCCCTCTTCCTGCTGTCCCACACATGCTGCCCCCACACCTGCTCTTGGCCTTCACTCACCCGCTCTCTGCTGCCTCCTGCATGGCCCTACCCCAAACCACACACCGACTTCGTGGAGTCCTTCCTGCTGCCCCAACCTGTGACTTCTTCCTCAAAATGGCTGGCACTTCTGCACATTTGGCCTCAGGAGCCAGTGCTGGATGAACAACTTAGATGAAGCCCAAAACCTGCTAAAGGAAGGTGAGACAAGCTGCCACATTAAACACCAGGCTGGGCCAGGGGCACAGTTCAGTGGTTGGGTGATTGCCTAGAAGTGTTCATTCCCAAAACGGGAAAAATAAAAAAGAAAACAACAAAGCCAAGCACAGAGCAGCTATCTTGTACCACCCAGAGGCATTTCAAAGAAGGGAGCCACTGGTTGAAACCCCCCACACACACCTGCTCCTTGGGAAGGACAGTTTGGAGTGCACACCACAGCCCGTCCCAGCAGCTTCCCCATCTACAAAGTGGGACTGCCCCACTGTGGGGTTGGAGCAGTTTGGTTCATATGTTGTGCAAAGCCAGACCAGACACCAGTGGACTGGAAAGGCCTTGGTACTCTCCTGGTGACACCACCTTCATCTTACCCAGGAGAGACAGAGAAAGTCAAGGTCACAGCATAGCAACGCCAGGCCAGACCTGACAGCCACTGTCCTGCCTCACCTACACCAGGGCCAGGCCCACCTGGGCACCTCCCTTCGCCATTTAAGAGACAGCCGGAACTGATGCCCCACCAAAGTCAACCCAACAGTCTCTCAGGGCACCTGACCTGCACTGTTGATTTTCACATAGAGGACAGGAACATTTTTAGTTCCCAAGGAATGTAACTCAGTCCACGGAAACAAGGCTGCCTCTGAGATGACGTTGCTGGATTAAAACAAACACCAGGCTCCCTATATAAGGACGAGCCAGCCACTGAGCACCACCTCCACCAGGAATCCCAGGTAAGCACTCTCCACTCTGCATGTGTGCATGAGTTGAGTTCACGGGTTTTACTGTATGACTCCTGGCTCACTCCTCTGGGCCTCAGCAGCCCCAGGGGATAGTGGGCAACCTAGGACAGTCTGGCTACTCAGAGACTAAGCTTGCCTTAGGAGCTATCCCAATCTCCCAAGGCTCCTGAGGGTCCTTCTAGGTCAGCTTCATCAGGTCTCACTTAAAAACTTGGCACAAGTTCCTCAGGGCATGAGAGGAACAACACTGGGGTTGACCCCCAATCTTCCAATGTGCCAAGTTCTACTGCCAAACATTCTGTTCACAGTAGTCTGGAAAGTCAGCTTTTCCATCCTCTCCTGCCCAGGGGAGGGGGGAGAGGGATTCCTGCCCTACTCAGGTCCTTATGTCCCCTCCCACTGTCTGCTCAGCTCCTTCCAGAGACTTCTGAGGGACATCAAGGGGTAACATAAGGTGCAGAGACCCTCTCTCCCCAGGGCCATCTGTCCCCACCCGAGACCATGCTCTCTGCGGGGACCATCTGCAGCTTGCTGCTCCTCAGTGTGTTCTGGGTGGACTTGGCCATGGCAGGCTCCAGCTTCCTGAGCCCCAAACATCAGAAAGTCCAGGTGAGCTCTCTGTCCACCACGCCCCACATTCTGACTGGGGATCGGCTTCCAGTCCTGCCTTTTAGTGCCAGCTGTATGACCTGCAGCAGTGACTCCACCACTCTGGGCTTCAAGCCTTTTCCCAGCACACAAAGTCTGGGTCTGACTGTATCTGCTTCTAAAAGGATAGGTGGGCTTGGACCCTAAAGAGTATACATCTCCTTTCCAGCAGAGAAAGGACTCCAAGAAGCTACCGGCCAAACTCCAGCCTCGGGCTCTGGAAGGCTGGCTCCGCCCGGAGGACAGAGGGCAGACAGAAGAGGAAGAGGACGAGCTGGAGATCCGGGTGGGTAGCTCTGCCTTTGTGGCAATGAAGTGGGGGTTAGGGAGGATGTTGGGGAGAGGTGGCATAACAGGGCCTATTTTCAAAGCTACTCAAAAAATTACAAACTAGTCCCCAAAATAGCTGAACTCCGCACTAAGCTCGTAAGGTCTTTTCCAAAGAGAAAAATGTTTGGAATTAGCTTTGCTACAAGAGAATGGGAATGTAAGGAGCCATGGATGGTGGAGAGAAGGGTTAGCAGATTCCAGGTGACCCAAAAAGAGCCAGATAATATGGAGCAGAGATAAAGACTCCCAGGAATGAGCAACTGGCCACAGAATGAAGATGTATGCTGCAGAAAGCTTTATTTTACTCAGGGGCCTCTCAGGCCTGAGGCTGGCCAGTGGAGCATTTTGAGACAGAACCAGGTGAGCAGGCTGCTGGCCCAAGTCGGGGCAGACAACACACGCCAAACCTACCTGTGCACAAGGGTGGTGGGGCCAGGTTATTCTTTCCTACAAATCTTGCATGGAGCAAGGAAAAAGTGGAGACAGCTCAAGGAATGGTGATGGTATTAAAGATATTTTAGGGGTCTCTGTAATCTTCTCGAACAGTTGCTGTGTTCTAGGAATGGTTTTTAGGAGCAACTAGGTGGCCATACCTCCTAGTGGCTAAACCAGGATTCCCTTGGGAGCTAGAGGTACCTCACAAGGCTGCTCTTGTTTGTTTTGCGGTGCTAGTGATGGAGCCCATGGCCTCATGCATGCTAGTTAAGTGTTCCGCCACTGAACCACAACCCTAGTCCTGTTCTACCCTTATTACGTATTTAATCTCTACAGTAAAGTGCAAGGCAAGTAGCACTGACGTTATTATCCCCATTTTGAAGACAGGAAACAGAAGTTCAAAGAGGTGAACTCACATGCCCAAAGCACCACAGCCTGTGTGGCTGAGACGGGACCCAGGTCAAGCTGACTACAGTCCCCAGCTCTCTCCCCTCCACACAGGTCTGGTGACCAGAAGGCATGCACAGTGGCCCAGCAGTGCTCTCTGCCAGTCTGAAAAACAGTGGAAGTGAGCCCTGCCCTCGGCCTCCCTTTACCTATTCCCACCATCCTCTCTGGCCAAAGGACGAACATCACCACTGAGATCCCCAAGACCCTGCTCTCTAACCTCATCAGATCCCAGGCCTCTTATTAGACCCTTGCTCCACATGAAGTGAGTTCCCAACCCACCAGGCTTCCATTCGACTGCCTACAAATCCTTAGGCTTAACCCCAGGAAATGGTCCTGTGAGATGGCCAGCTCCAGCTGGGCAGGCAGCACCCTGGCCACAAGAAGTCTCTTATCTCACACAAGGAAGAGTTCTTGGTAGCCAGTGACTCAAGACAGAACTAGAGTAAAGGAAGTTTCTGGTTCTGGAAAGTCTGGCATTCCTGGAAGGCATGGCAAGCCCTGGAGGTACCAACTGTCCGCCCTCCCATTCTGGGGCTCTGCCTCTCTCATCTCAGGCTCCTCCACCTCCTCTCCAATGTTTTCCTCCCAAAATCAAGTTTCAGAGCTGGAAGACAAGATCAAGTTCCCCCACACCCTACTGAACAGATGGGCCACTGAAATCAACAGGAAAGGTGCTTTTTCAGGTCACATGAAGATCTCCCAACCACCACCATGCCGCTTCTCAGGGGCCCCTACCTCCCTGGGATGGGAGGGCCATCCCAAGACCTCAGATCTAGTAGTTTCCCTGATAGGCAGATAGTATTCTAAGACATCTTCAGGGGATCTGACCACCCTGTGCTGACCACAGGAGGCAAGAAAAAAAACATTTACTGGAGAGAAGGAACAGAAGAGCAAGTTCCCTAACAATCAGTCTCATTATTTCCACTCATTCCTGGTCATGGTGAGACAGCTATTTCCTGCTGCCCTAACTCCCCCAGCCAGTCTCCCCACCAGTGAGATGGGAACAGTGGGAGTCCCCACCTCACAGGAGCACTGAAGTCTTGGTGCAGCAACGGGTACTGGGTGTACCAGCCCCATTCAACAACTCAAGTATCTGGACTGGATTTCAGGGTCCTGCACCTCCCTCTGGCCGCAAGCAGGTCATCCACCCTCCCTGGGTTTCTGCTGTGAAGACAGGGAAAGGACCGGCCTGGCTAGAGAGCTCCCTTCCAGCACTAAGACTTTTTCCTGGACCTTTTCAGACACCCAGATGATCCAACATAGCTAAGCACTGGGTTTCCACTGGATAATGTTGTAAAGTTTCAGTCCCTGCTGTCCAGGACAGAAAATCTCCGAGGTGCCGGCCACCCCAGGAGCTCTTTCCCATCTCCCCAAAGCTGTGAGCTCCAACTGGCCATCCCAGAGAAGGTCTGGGAAAGGGAGAAGGGAACATACCCCCTAGAGAAGGAAAGAAATGGAGGTGCAGAAAGGAACTAGCCTAGAGCATCTTCCTAGGAAGTCAGCTTCCTGTTTGATGAAACAGAGGAAAGTCTATGTCTGAGAGGAAGAACAGCTGGGGAAGGAAAGGGAAGACAGGAGAGAAGGGCCAAAAATCACCACTCAAGGTGTCTCAGGGAGACACCCTACCCCCAAAAAAACCTCCCTGTTAGGCCAGAAGTTTGACCACTGGCAATTGAATCTTCTGTCTTCCAAAAGTTTAAGGAGGTAAAAATGTGTACTAGAACTCCACAACTTTATCAGCAACCACAAGAGGCTAAGGCCAGGACACAGGAAAGAGACAGGTGAGTAGGCTCCCTAAAGATGACAGGAGGGAAGACACAGGCAAAGGAGGCAGAGAAAACCTCACTCAGAGGCCATTCAGTGGCAAGGCCCAAAGGCCATTCTTCCCATTCCCTGAGAGGAAAAATTCTGAAAACCAAGACTTCCTTTGGGAGAAGGGGTTTGTTTGGGGCAGGGCGAATGTGACACTGACGCCTCCAGATCCTTCCTTGTCTATCTCCTAGTTCAATGCCCCCTTTGACGTTGGCATCAAGCTGTCAGGAGCTCAGTACCAGCAACATGGCCGGGCCCTGGGGAAGTTTCTTCAGGACATACTTTGGGAAGAGGCCAAAGGTGAGTCCATGCCCAGGTCACGTTAATCCTTTTTCCACAAAACTCCAAATAGAAGTTGAGCCTTCTAAGTGATAACAAGACGTTCTCATTCCCAACTCCTGCTTCTTGAAGAGCTTATTTCTTTTTCCCACCTATCTGCAGGATACCTGCAGGACAGGGTGCCAGGCTGGGGCTTGTGAGCTCAAAAGGGGCTGAACACAAAGCCTGTGGCTAAAGAGCACTATGTTCCAAGAACTAGTGTGTTAACCAAACCTCAATTTCCTTAGCTTTGAAATGGTGCTAACACCCCTTGTGAGCATATAAAATCATTACCAAAGCACCTTAACTCTGTAACTCACACAGGGAATAGAAGCTGCATTCAGAACAGGATCCACAACCAGACAGCAGGGGGTTTTTGGTTTGTTTGTTTTTCATGCTGGGGATAGAACCCAGCACTTCATGCATGCTAGGCAAGCAATGTACCATTAATCTACACCTCCAGCTGCTTGATTTTGGCTTGAATTCCCTGATCTCGTTAAAAAAAAGATGCCCAACTTGTCCAATTGAGGAAACAGAAATATGTGACTCTGAAGCATAACATACAATCTTTGCAAAGCACCTCCTTCACAAACATGGCAGCCACGATCACCCACCCCTTGGGAGGTCGGCAGGGGTAGTGCTTGCCTGTGATGCAAATAGGGAAGCCAAACCTCAGAGCTATAAGGGGACTTGTCTGAGGTCACAAAGTCCACACTCAAATGCCACCTTCCAATGCCAAGACCAATGTTTCCCCTCCCCCATCACAATACACCACTTCCGACATCACCAATGTGGAAGAAAACCGTGTCTGATGGTATCGGCAGGGTGCTGAACTGGAAATGACTTGATCTCTTGCCTTTCAGAGGCCCCAGGTGGTAAGTGACCATCTACAGGACTGGCCCCGCTATTTTCCTCCCAAGCTTGGAAGCTCTCATCTGGCTTTAGACTGCTCTGCAACTCCAGTACTACTGTACTAGCTGAAGAATAAATGTTCAAACAAATGTTCAAAATGGGAATTAATTTCACCAAAGTAAATTCTACATTTTACTTAAAAATAAAAAAAATTTTTAAAAATGAAATGAAACAATCCTTAGCCTATGGTCAATGGGAAAATAAGAAAAGACATGTAGCAAGGCAGAAAAGCAAGTAAAACCTGCTCATTCGAGCAGCTCAACTCCCAGAAGAATCTATGACTGAAGGTAGGGGAGAAGACACAGCAGAACTTCCACAAGGCATCAAAAACGAGGAACTCACTAACAACCAGCAAAGAGACTGGAGGTGACCGAGTCAGCATCCACTCAACTTCTGACACTGGGGTGGTAGACCAGGATGGGAATGCCTAAGGGTGAACTTAAGCCAGACAAGTAGGTGCTTTGCAATGCCTCTCACTGTGCCACAGGGCTGGGTAACTGTCTCCTCTGTCCTTACCCACTATGGAGAGATCTAGCAAAGCAGCTGCCCCATGTGGGCAAGGCTGGCCACCACCTAGGTTACTTTATTTCCCAAAGTCCAGCTCACAGCTGAGAGGAGCCTTGGCTCCTAAGTCTTGCACATGAATTCCAGTTAAGGCACCAGTATCCCTAGGGGGTTATCATCTGTCGTGAACACCTTTGTGAGAATCTGCAGGGTGATTTGAGTCTGGGTGATGATAGATGGGACCTGGCAGTAAGGGAAAGGAGATCCCAAAACTAAGCACTGCCCACTTCCCAGTGTGGACAAGTGAGCACTTAGGATCAACATCGAGCACGCCCTCTACAGAGCCAGGTGGATAATGGCCATGCTCAGGAAACCCCACATGCAGCTCCAGGAGCCAAGCCAGGATTTCCTCTGCTTGAGCAAAATCTGGTTGCCCAGCAGCCAAGGCACTAACACTGGTCACATTTGGTGGCACCCTGAAACCCCATCCCTGGTGAAGAGCTGTGTGTGGTCCCCACCACCTAGGAACTTGTTAGAAATGCTGATTTGGCTCTACTCCAAGCCTCAGCATCTACATCTTAACAAAAGCCCCAGGGCCACTAAATGACTTATGTAAAATGGCTTAGAACTGGGCCGCTGGTGGCTCATATCTATAATCCTAGCTATTCAGGAGGCAGAGATCAGGAGGATCATGCATGGTTCAAAGCCAGCCCAAATAGTTTGTGAGATCCTATCTTGAAAAAACCCATCACAAAAAAAGGGCTGGTGGAGTGGCTCAAGGTGCAGGCCCTGAGTTCAAACTCCAATACCACAAAAAAAATAAATCAATATAAAATAAAATGGCTTAGAGGCACCTTGATCCCATCCAGCAGAACTGCATACCACAGGCAGGTGGCTCCCACAGCACAGGAAGGTGTCATCTGTGACTCTTAAGAACATTAAGGACTGACCAGTGGGGTTCTCAACAGCAGGGAACAGACAGAAAGGATGCCCATGTCAACTCCTGTCTATTCTACACCCAGTCTCCAGCCCAGCTCTCACCAACTCTGTTCTTTGAGCAAATTTCTCTTTCTCTCTCTCTGAGCCTTGGCACCAACCACAGGCAGCCAGAATGAGTGAGAAAAATGAATGCAGTACTTTAAGTTAGTGAAGAGCAAGTGACTTGGAGAAAGATGCAACAGGGACAAAAGAAAAGGCCCTTCCTCAGCCACCAGCCAGCCACCTTGCCGCCCAGGCCCTCAACACTTGGTCTAAAACTCATCCACTGACATCTGGCAGTCATGAGGCACCCAAGCCCTCCTCTCACTAGTTAAGGGGATCCAGGACCCCAACCTGGTCCAAGTGGGACCTTGGAAAAGCAGGCACTGACTGGGCATGGAGGGCCCCAAGGACAGGCCCTATCGGCCCTGCTGGTCACCTGCTTCTTCCGCATCAAGAACAAGAAGTCACTTCTCTCTCCCACTGAGCATCCACTCCGATGCAGCTGCTCTGTGCCAGGTCACACGGTGTGGGACAAAGCTGGAGGCTTCCAGTTATGTGATCCAGACCAAGAGGCTGCACTTCCCAGCCTCTGTCCCAGGTCACTGCTCAGTCTTGGCAGTGGCACAGAACAGGATTCAACTACTGTTCTAAGTACCTCTATACATGAGGGTAATTTCAGTTAATTTCACAGCAAACTGACTTACAAGGGAGAAAATGCTAGTTCAGAGAAGGGAAGTAACTTCACAGCACCCTCGCACAGAGCTGCAGCCCTGAGGCACGTGCCCTTCCTGCTCTACCACCTCTCCATCAAGGCTGCTTCCCTCACCATTTACTGAGGACTAGGGATTTTTTTTTTTTTTTTGCATTGCTGGACATGGTATCCAGAGTCTGTGTATGATAGGCAAGTGCCCTGCCACTGAGCTATGCACTCATGTTTCAAATTTTTTTCACTTTATTTCATAATGTACCAGGTAAACCTGCAAGGTGAGGACAATTTCAAATTAACAACTGGCAGAAATAAAATTTATCATACTCCAAATATGTTCCTATGTCAGTTTTTTTTTTTTTTTTCTTTCTTTTCTTTCTTGAGATAGGGTTTCACTATGTTCCAGGCTGGCCTTGAACTCACTATCTTCCTGCCTCAGCATCCCAAGTGGTGTGATTACAGGAGTGCATCATGATACCCAGCTACCTGTGTTAGTTTTTACCGACTCTTTCATGCATTATTTAATGATCCCATTAACTTTTAAGAGTCTTGGAAGTAGGATGCATGTACCCGTGGGATGAACGGACATTTGCTGAAGAAAACAAATTTTCTTATGAAAAAAATTGTTTTTTTAATTAGGAGAGCACGTGTATTTACACACTTAAGTGGTATGTGCTCAGAAATCGACCTATGTTTTTGTGTAAAGACAAGGCAGAGCAGAGGCTCCAAGGTGGTCTACACTGGTGGAAGGAAACCTGCCTTCCCACACATAGCTTTACTTTCCAGAACACCTTAGCACACCCTAAGGTGCAGCTCAGGGCAGTGTGTGTACCTAGCATACATAAGGTCCTGAGAATATCCCCAGGTCCACAAAACACAACAACAAAGCCCACACAAAAAAATTCTTAGTACAAAATAAGATGACTGACTGCAAATAGTGAACAATTTCCTCCCAAGTTCACCCGGTAGCAGAGAATTCACAGTCCAAAATCCACAGTCCAAATGACTCATCAACACCTGTGTATACTAGATTTTTCTTCCTCCCACTACATTGCTGTGCAACAGAAAAGACAGTGTCTACATACTCTCCCAAGGCTGAGCAGTAGCAGCAGAGCTGAGTTTACAGGTGGTGGCATGAATGGCAGTGCTCCAAGGCATAACTCTTCAGATGGCACTGTGTATTTTTGCAGCCTTACAGCGAGAGCCACAGTACTTGAGGGTATTTCTAGACATTAAGATCCCCAGGTTACAAAAACTGGCCAACAACCAGCCCAGTCCACAGTGTTACTCCAAGAATCCATACAGACATGGCAAGCACAGAGATGGCTAGAGGATCCATTTTTTTATTTTCAGAAAGAGGGAGAGATACAGAGGCATCCTGGCAGCATAGCAAGGACAATCAAATCAACCATCCAAAAAAAAACACTGCCGCCTGGTTCTCATGCCCACACAATGAGATGTGGGCACAGTCTTTGTTCTAAAGAGCAAAGCAAACAGATAGAACCTTGTACTTTTCCTTGGCAGAGGGCTGCATACGCTGGAAGCCACTGTGTAGCCATCACCTGTAATCCCCAAGTGCAAAACCGAGAGTCTCACATGCAGGCAGGACTGACTTACAGGACTTATTGTAGAGGAGGTGTCTACACTGTGAGTCAGCTGAGGGACAATAAAATGTGCTGACATACTTAGCAATCCCCTACATCTTCCAAGCAGATCAAGTCCCCTGGTTTCTCCACACTGGCAAGTTTGAGACACAGACCAAAAACAGCCGACACAGGAAATGGACGGTGATGAAGGCCTATCTCCCAGGCCAGTTACTGTGTCCAGGGGTAAAATGGAAATTCCAGAAAAGAATCAACCTATTTTATCTTAGTTTGTAAGATTTAAATGTGTCTTCCAAAAACACCTAGAAGAATTCATCCTAAGTATTGGGCTTTATAATTTAAGCCTTCAAAAGACACACCAGGGTAGCCTGACTCACTGCAGATCAGGGTGAAGGTTCTATTGGACTAAGTACAGGAGTCTCCTCATACTGAAGCCTTGACCACTGCAACCTTAAGGATCTATAGACACTTGACAAGGAAGCAGAGTGAACTCCCAACTTGAGACAACATAGCTGCACAAAAGCCAAAGGGGAGGCTCTCTCTTCTAAAGCACAGAGACAGGACACAGAAGAGGCCAAGGCCAGGGAGATGCCCGGGAGGGGCAGGAAAGGGTCTGTCACACCAGGCTTGCTTGCTCTGCATAGGAAACAAAACATGGCTGAGCTGCCCTGGCAAGCTGTAGAGAATGTCAACTTGGTGGGACACACAAGAGATGGTTAACACAGGATGAAATGGGAGGATTCGTTCAGGTCCAGTGTTTCAGGAGAAGGGAGAAAAAAATGGAGCCAAGGGATGCTGGAACCCCAATTCCTGACCAGCAAGCAACTTCTGCTGGAGAAGAAACTCATCCGTGTCCCCACTCAACATCAGTGAGCAGGAAGTACCTTCTCCAAGATCCTCATCCCCAAGGCCTCTTTTCTCAGTCCCGGATCTCCACAGACAGGATGTCCCTGGACCACCAGCACCCTTCCGCACACCTCCACCACACTGATGGCAGAACTAATGAGACCAGCAGCTGAAGTTCTCCTGCTTGTGACAACGCTGGGGTGACCCAGGATCAGTGACATAAACACAGGGTTATCCAGGGTAGGAAAAAACAACTGCACTGACTGCAAGAAAACCAACCTCTGCACTGGGTCTGCAGTAGGCTTCCCAGCAGATTGCCCATTGGGAGCTCCTGCTAAGAACTGAGGCAGGAACTGAGTGACACACTCACATGTGCTCAGACAAGGAGGGGACTTTATTCACAGACTGCTCAGAAACAAAGCTAAGAGCAGGGATTTGGACTGGCAAACTTGTCACAGCCTTCTATCCACTCCTTGCTCACTGACTGCCCTGTAGCACTGTGGCCAGCAGGGAAAACCCTGATGCTCTTCCAGGCAATCCCCTATTCCTCACCCCACGTCCACTCCACTGCACCCCCCTCCCAAACCCCCCACTCCCACCCACCCGCCTGAAGCTGAAGTCTGTGACAACGTTCCAAGGACAACATCCTGTCCTGGTTGCTCTGTCCTGACAGGCTCTGCAACACATCCTTGACCTTGGACGTGGGCATTTGGAACTCAGCCTGTGATCTGTCAGGCCGCCGGTCGCCCTGGAGGATTTGGAAGAGAAAAGAAAGTTCTAAGCCAAGTTCACTCAAGACAAAATCAGGCGTAATGCTCACAGTAAGTTTACATTCTCTAGATTAAGAAAACACAAAGCCGTGGAGGTCTGACTTGTAAGAAACACGTAAGTGACTCTTACGACCTTTTCCAGCAGACTCCTGCTCAGAGACTGTAGAGGCGACTGGTGTTCTCTCGAAGGATGGCCAGTGTGTGGGAGAGTGGCTCCTCCTTCACCCTGGCGATCTCTCGAACTGTGTGCAAGGCTAGGCCCGGGTGGGCATACTGGCAAAGGCTTTTGGGAACCTGGAAGACAGCAAGCATTCAGGCCATCGCTGTCTTCTGTGCACACAGCTATATGTAACACAGAAGTCCCCCCATCCCTTCCCCAGCAAGGACCTCTTTGGGGCTGTCCTGTAGAGACCCCTTTACCTGCAGGTGCAGGGAGAGTCCTAGTCATGGGGGGCTCTGGGTGAGCAGGGTCCCACGCTTCCGTGGACTACCCTCTACAGGGTAGGGCTTTGCACTGCCTGGAAGAGAGTGGTTACCCTTCAGCTTCTAGCCCCCTTGACTTTTGGCTCTGCAGAGCAACAACAAGGAGACAACCGCACACCAGGGTGGGTCCTGGAAGATCCTGGGGCTTGGGCCCTGCCAACCTTGCATGGGTGCCCACCCACACCACCCCCTCTACTCAGTGCCTCAACTCAATCTGAAGACACCCCTACCTGGCGAGGGAGGAAGTAGGGAGCATCTGTTTCCACAATGATCCTCTCCAATGGGATCTGTTTCAGTGCATCGCGGGCCTCCCAGGCGGAGGAGTACGTGAGCACTGCCGTGAAGCCCACCGACATGTTGGGAAAGTACTTCAACAGGGGCTCAATGACCGGGTAGCTGCCGGTGAAGCAGTGCCTATGAGAGAGTCCAGGTTAGGACTGTATCAAGTGCCCTCTACAGCAGTCCCCAACAGCCCCCCTTAGTGAGCTCCAGCAATCGGAAGTCTGCATCCAAGGAAAGGACTCCACAGCAAGCACAAATAGTGGTGCCAACACAGCAAGACTTAAACTGGCATGAGGACAGTAGTGCCCCCAGCCTTCCCATAGTATGTAGCATCGTACAGCCACTGGACATGACCACCACGAAGAACACACAGCAACAGCACAAAGATGGAGGGGCACGTAGCAGGAAGCAAGAGCTTAAAACTGGCCCTCCCAAGGTTAACCACAGAACATAAAAATTATGCCTGTGTAATCAAATGCACTGGAGGAAACAAACAAATGAAAATACTGGGAAAAGCCGGTTGTGGTGGTGCATGATTGTACCCCAGCATTCGGGAGGCTGAGGTAGGAGGATCGTGAGTTTTAGTCTGGCCTAGACTACACAGCCAAGACCCTGTCTCAAAATACAAAAAAAAGAATAAAGGAGAGGGAGGGAGGGAAAATGAGAGGAAAAAATATTGGGAAAAGGACTACAGGTGAAATTTTCTTCTTAAATGGCAGCTGTTCATGTTCTTGGGGCAATGTATACTATACTGTCAACCCATCCAGGAACTGAGGGTTCCTCCAGTCACAACACCTTTTTGGGCCATCTTAGCCCTGGTCAAGCTAAAAGTCTGCCCACAGTAAAGCAATGCAAAACTCAGAATTGACAAGTAAATGCACCTCAGATCCAGTGTGTGCGCCTCCACTGTCTGCTTTGTACCCCAAAGACAGCAGCATGGTAACCTGACAGTCACACCCCCTTGCTGCCATCTGATGTCATTTGGGTTCTGGCCTCCCTGCTTTTTTCAGTTAAGCACTCTTGCCCCTCTTTGAGGAGCCAACTCCAGCATCACCTCTGACCCCTCTGGCCCTTTAGTTCTAGCAGGAACTAAAGGGTTCCTGCTGCACATGGAAGCCAACAGCGAACGGTCTGTCCTCCAGGGGAACCCCAGTCAGGCCAAGACCCAGTGCATGCATGTGGTAGGAGTCAAGGAAGCTACCAAACCCCTAGGTGCCACTTAGGTAAAACACATCTAATGCTAACTGGGGTAAAGGAGCTTGCATATTTAAAAAAAAAGAAAATGAAAGCAAGCAAGGACTTTTCAGGTGCTCTCAGGGGTTGTGTGTGTTAATCCACTGGACCCATAGTAGCATCTCCATCAAGACTCATAGTCCTTATTGCTTTCTTTTTTTTTTTTTTGCAGTACTTGGGCTTGAACTCAGCCCACACCTTGAGCCACTCCAACAGCCTTTTTTATGTGATGGGTATTATTGAGATAGGGTCTCATGAACTATTTGCCCAGGCTGATTTCAAATCACGCTCCTCCTGATATGTGCCTCCTGAGTTCCTAGGATTACAGGCGTGAGCTACCAGAGCCTGGCTCATGGTCCTCATTTCTAAGAAGGGAAAGCACCTTCTTGTTCAAACTATGTGCCATATGAAGTCATCACTTTATATACAAATAATGGTCAAGTGCCAGAAGTTTCATATGGTTCTACTTAGTTCTTTACAAAAGACAGTTTATAAAAACATTATAATGAGTGTGAATCCCAGAGAGGCCTCAAGAAAAAAAAAAGACAAGACAAGCTGGCATCCGTGGCTCATGCCTGTAATTCTAGCTACTCAGGGGCAAATAGTTCATGAGCCTCTATCTCAAAAACACCCAACACAAAACAGGGCTGGTGGAGTGGCTCAAGTGGTAGCACACCTGTCTAGCAAGTATGAGTCTAAGTTCAACCCCAGTGCAAAGACAACATCATCGTTCTCCTTACTGCTTTTATGTCTCCAGCTACTATCCTAACATCATTTGCCCACTGAAGAGGCAGCCTCCTAACCTATGGATCTTGTAGTCAGAGGGCACAAATTTTTTCATGATGTCCAGTAGATCTTCATCAGCTTCTCGGCAATGGATGACCAAGGGCTTCTTTAAAGACACAGCCAGCTGCAGCTGTCTCTCAAATACCTGGGAGAAGATAAAAAGGACAACATCAGCTGGCTAGTGGCACTTCAGAATTCTGTTATCTCTGAAATACCCAGTTCAGAAGGCACTCCTGCTATCTCCAATTCTTTCTGTTTAAACTACATAAAGGAGTAATAACCACAGTTTACTGTGTACCCTCTTAAGAAGCAGCCAGTGCAACCACTCAGGCTACCACCCACTGCACCTGCTGGTGTTCAGCGTCCTTCTCCTGTGGCCCCCACAGAGGCAGGAGGTTCTAAGAAATTCTAACACTACCTTTTAATTATTGCCTCTGAAGAAATCATTCCACCCAGTAGTTAATTAAACTAATACAAGGTGGATTATTATACAGCTGTTTAAAATATATACTTATCAAAGTATAGTTAATGGAAAAATTTTTACAAATGGAAAAAAATTCAAACACTATTATTTTTTTAAATTTCCTAGATCCTTTAAAAAAAAAAAAAAAACCACATACAGGGTTGAGGAGTAGCTCAGTGATGGCATACTTACCTAGCAGGCCCAAGGCCCTAGGTTCCATCACCAGCTTCAGGGGACTGGGTTGACATACATATAACACACATTTCCTTGATTCTGACAGGTTAATTCTAAAACCCACCAACTGTCTCTTGCAACTTTTGAAGAGACAATATATATAATTGTTTTAAAACACATCCAAATTTTAAAACCATTAAGAAAGGAAGTAAAAGTGCGGCTCAGGCAGCAAAGCACCTGCTTTGCAAGTGTGAAGCCCTGAATTCAAACCCCAGAACCCCCCCAAAAAAAGTTAAGAAAAAATAATTCACTAGCATGTAGGAACTACGGCTATACTAAAGCTATCTACAGAATTTATCCTTTCCAGCTGAAAAGGAACAGCAATGAAGTGCATGTAAGTTATTTACCCAGCATAATTACTCTTGGGCTTGCACAAACTCTGGTTCCCAGATGATCCACTGTATCTAGGGATTCCAGGCTTAATTCATTTCCCCTAGGGGCACACCAGGCATTTCTGCCCTCAATAATTAATTCTAGTCAAACACAAATAGAGACAGATTCAGCCAGAGTTCAATCAGCCAAGGGGGGAAGGACCCACCATTTTTCCTGCCTTTTGAACCAAAGGGATTCTAATTAAACATGTAGTTTGAATAAGTGCAACTTACACAGAGAATATCTAGGACTTAATCCTTGGAAGTTAAATAGTTAAAGTCCACAAACAAGGAAAAAGTTAAGTGGTTTCCTCTGGGTGGCAAGATAAGGAAAACTACTCATTTTCCCCCCGATTTTTTATTCTTTCTCTATTTTCCAATTCTTCTACACAATATTAGGTAACAGAACTGTATTGTTGTTTTTTGTTTTCTCTTTTTACTGTTTTTTCCTGGGGATCAAACTCAGAACCCCAGGGCCTCATGCATGCTAAGCATGTGCTCTACCACTGAGCATGTGCACCACCAATCCTCACGCTCTTTCTCTTATGAGTCAAATATGACCCCTAGAAACATGGCCAGGCATTGTCCTTCCATGGGTTCTTCTTCCCTTCACCAGATAAAACATTCAGCAGAACACATCTAGCTTGCTAATCACTCTACTTTTAAAGGGATGCTGTCCAACAGGGCAGTTGCCAGTCACAACCATTCACTCCACTTGGGTGTCAAACTTTAGATTGTGTCAAGAACACTATTGCCACTGGGCACCAGTGGCTCACGCCTGTAATCCTAGCTATTCAGGAGGCAGAGATTAGGAGGATCTCGGCTAGAAACCAGCCCCAGGCAAATAGTTTGCGAGACCCTGTCTCCAAAATACTCAAAATACAAAACAAGACTGGTAGAATGGCTGAAGTGGTAGATCACCTGCCTACCAAGCCCAAGGCCCCAAATTCAATCCCAGTACCGCCAGGAAGAAGAGAAGAAAGTAGAAGTATTTGTTGGATACTATACAGAGGACCAGGACAAGATCTAAGAAATTTTTATGAATTTTAAATTCTTTAGTTCCAAAAACACAGAAGATTTTAACAACTATAGAAATAAATTTAACCACAAGCAAACTAAGGAAAGTCTCATTCATTACCTTGTGCTGCTCTGGGACAGGTGTGGTGCACTTGTAAGAGTAATCCAGACCCATTTCCCCAAATGCCACAGCCTTGGGATGCCTTAAGGCTTGCAAAAGGTTTCTTTCTTGACTCTCACTATAGTAACGTGCAAAATGAGGGTGACAGCCAAAGGCCCCCCAAACCAGATCTTCTTTCAGGAGCTCCTCCCACAGGCCATCTGTCAGTGTCCGAGGATCACAGAAATCTGAGATGCAGCCCTGAAACTCCTTAGGGAAAGAGCTGCTGTAAATTTTTCTGAACTTTGTAAAGGTCCCTTTGAAAGACAACTTGGAATAGAGCATGTCCAAGTGACAGTGGGTATCAATGAAGCCCTCCTCTAGGCTCAGTTCCCGGTGGCTCCTTGGCAGGGAGCTAGATACATTTACTCCACAGGGGCGAGGTGGTGTCTCCTCTCGGAATGTCCTTTTCTCTTTCACCTCCCCTTCCTCTGAGCTTCTGGAGAAATGAAATGAACGAGAATTCTGTGATCTGCCTTCCTGGGCAGCCTCCAGATCTCTGGAGGTGCTCTGGGAGCTCAATGTGGACTTGGGAGAAAAACCACTCGGGTGGCTCTGGCTGCTCTTCCCAGCCTGTGCTGTATCATGGTTGCTGCTGCCCACAGAGGGATAGCCAGGAGTCTTGGGGCTACTGGTCCAGCAGCTGGCATAGTCACACCAGGGACTACTGTACAGATGAGGAGGATACATAACATAGTCAGTGGGGAAGGAAGAAGGCTCTGGAACTGCCGAGTATTTGAGCGAGACAGGCTCCTCCTGAGAGAATCTCACAGTGGACAGCTCATCGACATCGGACCAATCGCTTCCTGAAGAGGGGTGCTCAATCACCACCTCCCTGTCTTTATGCTGCAGAAAAGAAAAAAATAGCAGTAGTTGAGCCTTCCCATGTGAAAACTACACACCACGCTGTAGTGAGAAAATGGTCTGTCCCCTCCAGAATGTATGCTGGCGCTTAATCCCTAGTATGAGATATTAAGAATGTGCAAACTTGCCAGGCACCCAGGTGACTCACACCTGTAATCCAAGCTACTTGGGAGGCTGAGATATGGAGGATCAATGTTCGCGGCCAGCCCAAGCTAACAGTTCTCAAGACGCCATCCCCAAAATAACAGAGGAAAATGGACTGGAGGTGTGACTCAAGCAGCAGAGCACCTTCTTTCCAAGTGTGAAGACTTTGGAAAGTTCAAACCCCACTCCCGACAACAATAATAAAAAAGGTGCAAACTTAATCTGGGCTTGAAAGTGGGGAGGCAATTAGGATTAGATAAAGGCCTCAGGGTGATCAGGATGGAGCCCTCATGACTAGCATTATGGTTTACTAAGAGGGAAACCAGAATATGGTACACACCCTCAAACTCCCTATCCTCACTGTGTGATGCTGCACCCCACCTCAGGACACTGCCAGCAGTGTCACCAGATTCAGACCCCTGATCTTAGATCAGAAGCATAAGCCAATGTAAACCTCTTTCAACTTGTCCAGAACTGTGTTCTTAGCAACAGGAAACTGGCTAATACACTCAGGCATCAGCAAAACATCAATTCTAGCTTGTTTTTCTGGCCATGCTGAAGGTTTTCCAGTGGCTCATAAGCTCACCTTTCACCTGATTGCCTTACAATTTCCAGAAGCAAGCAAGGTTCCAGCTGTAACAGTTCACATTAGGTTCAGTGAATAAACCTGTGGTCACAGTGTCACAATGCCTGAAGGAGACACTATCACTGTGCTCGTCTCTTGAGAGAACAGCTCTCCAGAAGATAGTTCATACTGGGGATTTGAAACAAAAAACCACAACCACTGTTGCAATTGTAAAATGTGTACCCCAATTATTTGACACTACTCTACACTAAGAGGTGGGGTCTGCAACCCCCACCCTCTTTAGTCTGGGTCACTAGTGGCTCACTTGTAACAGACAAAATGCTGAAGTGACAATGTGTCCACTCAAGGCTTGGTCAGAAGAGCCTTGGAGATTCCATCTGGGGCTCTCAGTCTTCTCTCACTGAGAGAAGTCCAGCTCCATGTAGCTAGTCAGAGCACCTAGCCAGGGAGGTCACACACAGGTGTAGGTGGATTGGCCCATAGCCCAGTTGAGCTGACATCAGCATTAGCTGTTGGCCATACTAGTGAGCATTTTAGACATCCAGCCCAGCCCAGCCCAGCCCAGCCCAGCCCAGCCCAGCCCAGCCGAGCTGAGCCGAATGACTGCAACCCTCATCAATATCTGAATAAAAGCATGTGACAGTTCTAAGCAAGACCTGCCCAGTCCAGACTCTTTCAAATTCCTGACTCACAAAACAGAAAACAAAATAAGAAGTCAGTGTAAGTCACTCTATTACAGTGGTTACCAGAGCCGCCATACCTTACAGGAAAGCCATTTAACCCTGAAAGAACACAAGCTCTGCAGGGACAGGAGTTTTCCTCAGTCTCCCAAACACATGGAACGGGGGCCTGGCAAACGGTAAGTGCTCACAAACACAAATACTTGCTGAACTGTAGAATAAATGGTACAACGGTTTCTGAATGCAACTTCATAGCATCACCAACTGGGGAGCATTTTAAAAGCAGATTTCCAAGACTCACTTCCACCCTAAATTACTGTGACTAACAGGCCCTCAACAGGGCCAAAGAGTCTGTGCTGAAATCTCCATGTAATTTTGATGCAGACAATTTTGAGCACAGTGAACAGACATCAACTGATGCAAAAACTTTACTTCAGTGCCAGCAATTCTTGTTAACAAAGCCATCTACATCCACCAGTGCCACAGATTCAGCAAGAGACCTTACAAAGCTCTTTTAATAATCTATAAGCAAATATAACTCATGTAACAGTCACCAGGAAAGAACATTAAAGATAAATTGGTTACCTTCTTAACATGGAATAGAAAATGTGCTTCTGTTGTCTATACTAATTCTCCACACCTCTATCTAGACTCCAAAAGGAAATAAATACTGACAACAAAAAATTATAGCAATCCCATTTCACACCTGGGATTTGAACCCGAGGCTTCACACTTGCTAGGCAGGCACTTTACCACTTAAGTCAAGCCTCCAGTGCTACTTTCCTGCTACTGTTTTACTGAATAACAGAAAAGGCCAAACAAAACCAGGCATGCTGATGCATGCCTATAACCTCAACACTCACAAGACTGAGGCAGGAGGATGACAAGTTTGAGGCCAGTCTAGGCTACATAGTAAATTTAAAGCCAGCCTAAGCTACACAGTGAGAGCCTGTCTCAATAAAAAAGAAAAAGAAAAAAGAAAAAAAAGAAAGAAAGAAAATATCCAAACAAGATCTTTCCTAGGCCTGGGACATAGCTCAGTGGTACAGTACTTGCCTAGCTTGCGTGAGGCCATGGGTTCAATCCAAGACAAAAAAATATATATATATATTTTCTAAAATGCAAGACCGGGGCTGGGGGGTATGGCTCAGTAGCAGAGCAAGTACTACGCATGTGAGAGGCCCTGGGTTCCATTCCCAGCACCCAAATAAATAAATAAATAAATAAGCAAAAAAACTTGAATTGCAACATGTTTAAAGTTTGATCTGAATTCCTAAAGCTGGGTTGTGGGTACCTGGGAATTCATTACACTATTCTATTTCCTTTGAATATGTTGGAAATTAAAAATATTAACCTATAAGGAAAAACAATGTCAAACAAAAACTAGATTGCACGTAACAGAAAATTTCCATCAACCCAGACAATGAAGAACTATGGTCTTGCCTGAGCTTGACAAGTCTTTCCCGCTGAATTTTTCAGTGAGACATACCATATTCACCAATCTACTTTTATGCAAATACATCTGAAAGCTGAAGTGTCTCTTATATATACTAATACAATTAACATCTTTGCTATACTGCTTTTTATATACATGACATGAAGGTGTTATAAAATGGGCACCAATGGCTCATGCCTATAAACCTAACTACTCGGAGGCTAAAATAGGAGGGTCACAGTGTGAGGCCAGCGTAGACAAAAAAAAAAAAAAACAGCTCACAAGATCCCATCTCCACAGAGAAGGCCAGAGGCAGTGGTGCGCCTTTCATCCCAGCTACAGCAGGAAGCCTAAAATAGGAGAATTGAGATCCAGGACAGCCTGGGCAAAAAGCAAGACTCTTATCTCCAAAATAACCAGAGCAAAAAGGGCTGGAGACATGGCTCAAGCAGTATATAGTATTTATCTACGAAGTGACGAGCCCTGAGTTCAAATTCCATACACAGCACCAAAAAAAAAAAAAAATATATATATATATATATATATAATAGTACATAATATTCTACCATTTGTATTATAAACTTATCATCTTAGAAATGTTCTTAGCTGGGTGACTCATGCCTGTAATCAGGAGGACCACAGTTCGACACAAGCCCACACAAATACTTAATGAGACCCTACCTCAAAAAAAAAAAAAAAAAAAAATACCATTACAAAAAAGGGCTGGTGGAGTGGCTCAAGGTATAGGCCTGAGTTCAAACCTCAGTACCACAAAAAAAAAAAAAAAAAAAAAAGAAAGAAAAAAACAGATGTTCTTATGTAAAGATATATTTGACTTTTTTTTTTCCCCCCAAAAACAGAAGTTAATCTAATGTAGACTGACTGACAATGCCCAAATACAGGTAGGTCTTTTTTCTTTCACCATATTCCTTCTTATATGCATCAAAATTCATACTGTACAATGAATCCTAGGTTGCAAAAGAGGATTTATTTTTTGCACCTGTCTGTAAGTTAGATAGGAGTTTTTGTCCTGGTTTTTTGAGACTAGGTCTATGTAACATAGCCCAGGCTGTCCTTGAACTCAAAATCCTCCTGCTTCAAGTTCCCAAGTGCTGCGATTACAGGTCTGTACCACCACATCTAGGTGACTAAAGTTTTTGCCCCAAAAATTATTCCTCAGAAAACAAAGCATCACTTTATCTTTAGATCCTTACAAATCAAAAGTAGCCTACAACATGTACGCTTTTGTTTGTGGAAGACAAATGATCCCATTTTGATTCCTAAGTTTATTTTTTTAAAGGGGATAGGGAGATAAAGCAATGTACAAAATTTAATAATCATCCCCAAGGTTATGACCTCACTTCAAAGTGTTGGGTGTCACTTTTAATATACCCTTTTAGGATTGGTTTCTGTTTTCTACAATCACTTTTTAAATTACAATATGGTTAAAGATACACTGGGAAAATACAAGAAACTTCTAACAGTGGTTACCCAGGTGAAAGAACAGGGCAAAACAGAACTGGAAAGCTGCATTTCACTAGATGCCTTTTATTTTTTGAGCTATGGAAATACATTTACTCAAAAAATGGAGGCTCAAGTGGGCACCTGATGTATTTCCATAGCAATAGAGAGGTAGGGAGGAAATGACCTAAAGAATAATTAGAAGTGGTCACATTATGGCCATCCAAAAAGCACTTCCAGGAAAAAAGGAAATTCAGATTGCCTCAAATGTGGTGGGAACAGCTATTTGCAACTTGGGACAAAACCTTCATGAACAACATTCTACAGATTCTAAACATGCTCCCTCTTGTCAGTAAAATCTCAGTTGCAGGAAACTCTACAGGACAAGTGATCCTGATGCTTCCACAAATCACAGCATCTTGGGGGGTGGAGGACTGGGCAAAGGAAGAATCCATACAGACTAAAGTTCTTGCCATATATAGAAATTACTATACATGGTTTTTATTTGGATCCTGTTTCAAACCAAAATGAAAAAGGAAATTGGTTTCCCTGGATAACTGATGAGATCAAGGACTGTGAGTCTGCGTGTTAAGATTCTGTTTCTGGTTTTGGGGTATTTTGTTGTTGCTGTTATTCCATAGGTTCTATACCTTAATGGATGAAAATGATATGGTCACTAAGATTTGCCTCAAAGTAATTTGTAAAGAGAGAACGGAAACAGACGCCAGTGCATCTACCTAGCAGGGAGTTGATAAGTGAGGGGTCCATGGGTATACTACATACATGTTTTAAATTCACCATTAAAAAAAGTTAAAGAGTAGGAGTTAAACATAAAATTCCAACTCAGATGAAAGGGCAGGTAATGTCACTCTGTATATACCCCAAATATGTCCCATCACCCAGGACATTTCTTTAACAAAAATAATAATAATAATTACCAGGATTCATCCAAAACCTCTCAACTCAGATTCTCTCATTTAGGGACGTTCTAGAAATCACATCAGATGACTCAAAAAGTAACTCTAGCAGGGCAATGGTGGCTCATGCCTGTAATCTTAGGCACTTGGGAGGCTGAGATTGGGAGGATTGCAGCTGGGCAAAAAGTGCACAAGACACCATCTCTGTGGGTGAGGTGGAAGCACCTGTCATCCCAACAATGATTAAAAGCATAAAATAGGAGGATCACAGTCCAGATGGGCCTGGGAGAGAAAAATAAGACTTTGTCTCCAGAATAACCAGCAAGTACAAAAGCCCTGAATCCATACAGCAATACTACCAAAAAAAAAAAAAAAAAAAAAAAAAACTTTAGTGACATATTAAAGATACCTGAAAGAGTCTGGTTAATGAAATATGAAAGTGGGGGGGGGAATGGCAGAGTGAAGTAAAAAAACAATTTCAAAAATGCACATAGCTGGGTGAGGGGGCACACATGTAATCACAGCACTAGGAAGGCTGAGGCAAGAGGATGGTGAATTTGAAGCAAGCCTGGTGGGCTACATAGGGAGACTGTCTCAAAAAACAAACAAACAGAAAAGATTGCCTTTATGTAAAATTTAAAGCCCATATTTAAAATTTAAAGAACCCAATGCACAACCTGTTGGTAAAAATAAAAGTTTTATTAGAGCACACTTTTGTATGTTTCTGTCTACTTTCATGCGGAATTAAACAACTGCAACAGAGCTGGATATAGTCCACAAAACCTAAAATAACCAGATGGCTCTTTACAGAAAATGCCAAGCCCTACATTAATTTTTTTTAACTGTAATAACATCTGAAGAACAATCCCATTTTACATACAGGAAGAAACTGGGCACTCAAGATCTTAATTCTGGTAGTGGGACCAGGATCTGGAAACCAAATGCTTTGACCCCAACACTCACACTAACTCACCATTTACCCAACACAATCTAAATACCCAGTCTGACCAATAGGAGTTGGGCTTAATTTTAGAAAGTTCATCTCTATCTGGAATCCTAGGCAGTCAAACAAGATGATGGTGTACATTAGACAAAGACACACAGCCACTATATATATTTAGTTTAAAAAAAAAAAATTACAAAACATTATGTAGGACTTCCAGATATATATAGCACATGTGGTTTTTGTAACCCCCCACAAATAAACCCTTCTAAAATTATAGGAAATGGAATTGAGAAGGCATAAAGCTATAATGAGAAAGCTACAGAGGAAAGAGCAAAGCAAACTAAATAAAAATTGGGTAGTACAAAACAGACAGATGGGGCCAGGCATGGTGGTGCACACCTATAAACCCAGCATTCAGGAAGCTGAGGCAAGAGGACTGTTGAGTTTCAGGTCAGCCTGGGCAACACAGCAAGATCCTGTGTGAGATTAAGAGGGAAGGGGAGAAGGGAAAAAAGAAGGCAGCAGAGGGAGGAGGAAGAAGAGGAGGGAGCAGACAGATGGTCAATTATTGGCTAAACAGATCATAGATGGACAAACTTAAGCTTGCAGTAAGAAAATGCCAGAAACAGACTACAGGACCTGAGAAGACTAGGAGTTAAAAGTGCCACACCCCTCAAAATGAAGGTGAAGTTGAGAGAGATAAATAGGAGAATTAGTTGGCAGACTATGAAGTTAGATCCCTGGGTTCTGACTCTTATCCCATGTAGGTGGGTCTGCCTTTTCTCCACCCAGCAATAGGCAGAAGGTTCAAGTTTGGGAAAGATGGACCACAGGGATCGTGGAATAGTCAGGGACAAGAGATACCTACTGGACCGTGAAATCCAGGTACCTCCTCAGCCTGACTCCCAGAACTGCAGCAGTCAGGTATGGGCCTCCTCAATGAAGACTTTCTCCCAGGAAAAACTGAGCAGCTAAAGATAGAGCCACAGGTTCAGCTGGGGATCCCACAAAATTGCACCATGTCATCACTCCATGGCATAGTCTACCAACTAGTCAGTCCATGCAAGCACACAGCTTTTTAGTGTTTCATCTTGTAAATATGAATGGATATGGATACCCAAGATATATAAGAAAAGTGCTACCATAAAGACAGAAACAAGCATTTATTATAAAGAAATCAGAAGAAAAGCCGAGCATGGAAGCTGGCCCATAATCCCAGCTAGCAGGGAGGTGGAAAGCAGGAAAATAGAGGTTGGAGAACAGATCTGGGAAAGTTAGCCAAAGATAATAAAAACAAAAGGACTGGGGGTGTGGCTCAAGTGGCAGAGTACTTGCCTACCACATTTAAAGTCCTGGGTTCAATCCCTCATATCACCAAAGGAAAAAAAAAAAAATCAGAAGAAAACTAAGATCAGGAGGACAGAGGTTCAAGGCCAGCCCAGGCAAATAATTCACAAGCCCCCCATCTCTAAAGTAACCAGAGCAAAATGGGCTGGAGGTGTGGCTCAAGCATTAGAAGTACCTGCTTTGCAAACTTGAAGCTGTTAGTTCAAATCCCAGTCTCACCAAAAAAAAAAAAAAAAAAAAGTAATAATGTAATCACAGTATACTATGCAACTCAGCTATGAATACAATAATAAATCTGAAACAGACTCAACCCCAAATTGTATTAAAATGACATGAGGAGGCTGTAGTGTAGATAACTAGCTACTAAAGGAAGTGTAGAGAACTAAATTCCCATCACCCTGAGCAGGAAATCTATAGATGTCTAAACTGAATAATCAATAAACAGTACAAATTACTTGGAAATATGAAGGTAATTCACAAAAACAAACAAAAGGAACACTGAAGTAAGGTGTATTAATGAACTCTAAAAGGAATAATGGAATAGAACCATGAACCTGTTTCTTTCTTGGTTAAGTAAACTAACTGCTTTTAATTAATAACATTTAGGAGACAGGTATGGCTCAATGGTAGAGCAACTGCCCAGCATGTGTGAGACCCTTATTTGAGTCCAAGCACAGCAAGAAAATAACATCTAAATGATGTTAAATTAGAAAGATCAAATGAAAACACATTTAATCAAGAGAACTAAAACCCCAAATGCTTCATGTGTACTTTACTTACCTTTTGGACATCTAAATGAGAGTCAGAGTCATCGAGAAATTCTAGGAGTGGAGAGGGATTGTCAATAACTGTCCGTCGGTCACCAAGTGGCTCCTCACTGAGTTTCTCCTGAGGTTCTATGACCACTCTTCTGTCGCAGAAGTTGCTCCTGTCTAATTCGGGCTTTTCCTCCTCCACCCTGACCTCTGGAGATGACTCCTTCTCCTCCTGAGGAGCAGTGACAGTGACACTCCTAACTGGTCCTTCAATACTCCTGGCTGGTTCTTCCACACTCTTGACTGGTCCTTCTCTGCTGGGACGCTCTCCTGGGCTTGGCTTCACCCTAGCGTTGGCAGCCTCCCCCTTCCTGTTGGGCATCGACTTCCCCAGAATGCCCTGGATTGCCTTCAGGTAGATCACTGTGGAACCTTGGTCTCGAAGCCTATCCCGCTTCCTTTTCTGAACCTTGTTTGGTTCCTCCATAGCATCATTCTGACCCTCAGCTTCAGCTGCAAATTCAGAGCTTGTGGAGTTACGAGAACTATCTTTGGAATCAACCTGGAAGGAAAAAAAAATATTTTGAAAAGGTTATTCTACGAACAATTTCACACATGGAGCACCTGGCAAATGACAAATTAGTGACTGTCTCATGAGTACAAGGCAAAGTGTCTGAGACTAAGAAAAGATGTTCTAAGGACAGTGGTTTTATCCTGCACCACTGAAAAGGGCCACCATAAAAGGGACTGAGTTGTTGCCATTTCTTAACATCTTCTCAGGCTCATCACACAGTTCACTTACTTCAGCAGGAAAGGATGATCTGTTACACTAGACCAAAAACTTCCAGAAAGCCAAGACCACCACACACTTCACAACACACAGACAAAATAGCAACTCAGTCTTCACAATGGAGGAAACTAGCCCAGTCCCACGAACAAGAGTCAAGCAAACCTAAAGACTCAGTGAAGGGAAGGGTCAGCCCAAGGAATTTCAATCTCCTATAGTCTCCAATCTCCCAAGTCCTAGGTAAATTCTTCCCACTATACTCCCAGCTTCCTTAAAGTTCTCTGCAAAACTTTTCTTTCCCTTTGGATTTGAAAGGATTACTCTCCCAAAAACAGTACCAGGATCCATTAAGACATGCTAGCTACCCTCCTGCCACTCTCCCACATCCTTAGAGACACATCTTCCTTTCTCTTCTGCACCCACTCACTCTAGGCATTCACAGGGGAAAAGCTAGATTACGTGTCTGCAATATTAATTTACTGTGGAACTCAGATCCATTATAGTCCCAGCATGGGGTAAGAACATCCCATAAGAGCTCCCCCTCAAGCCTTTACAAAAGCAGTGGAATTCCAAACCTCCCAGCTGTGATTTGGACTTACTACCCAAGGCATTCTCCACCCCTACAATATGTACTTCTAACTCATTTGTATTAAATTCCTCTCAAAAGTAAATACACTCAGAAAAAGAACTCCACACCAAGCTTAATAACCTTTTTCCTCTACTGAGAAATCTACTCCAAGAATGCCAGTCAATAGGGGACTAGTTAAATAAACAGAGGCTGCAAAACAACAGAGCTTAAAAAAAAGAGAGAGTCCTAGCTACTCAGGAGGATCGAGGTTCGAAGCCAGTCCCAAGCCAGTTCCGGCAAATAGTTCAAGAGATCCTAGGGCAGTAACTGTGTATTTCAAAACCACTAGTAAAGAGGATTTTGAATACACTCAACACAAGGGAATGATTAATGTCTGAGAAATTGGGTATGCTAATTATCCTGATCTGATCATATGTACTGTATATATGCAGTAACTAGGCAGTAACTATGTATTTCAAAACCACTAGTAAAGAGGATGTTGAATACACTCAACACAAGGAAATGATTAATGTCTGAGGCAATGGGTATGCTAATTACCCTGATCTTATCATATGTACTGTATATATGCACTTAAATGTCACATTGTACCCCACAAATATACAAATAAATGTGTCAGTTAAAAAAACTTGGGCTGGGATGTAACTCAGTGGTAGAGCATTTGCCTAGCATGAGCAAGGCCCTGGGTTCAATCCCCAGCACCAAAAAAAGACAAAACAAAAACAAAAAAAACATTTCAGTAAAAAAATAAGGTGGCTGGAGGCATGCCTCAAGTGGTAGAGTGCCTACCTTGCAAAGCATGAGGTCCTGAGTTCAACTCCCCAGACCCTCCCCGCCAACAAAAATAAATAAATAAGTAAACTAAGATAATTAGTTAATACTAGAATTTAAGAAAACCTCTCCAACAACTGTCCTGGAAGTAGCAAGGGAACAAAATGAGGTAGGGCAGCAGGAACTTCTATGATTCTAAAATATCCAGTGGCTGGAGGTGTAGCTCACCAGCTGAGCACTTGCCTCGCATGCCCAGACCCTGGGTTCCATTGCTAACACTGAAAAACTAAATTTGCTCAAGTATCTTCCCTTCTGAATATTCTATGTCCCAGCACTGAGAGCTGTGTTGAAGGTGGAGGCACTCAAAGCCAATGTGCACATGCCGGTCTGCAGTGAAGACACAGAATAGGCAGGTAGGTGACAAGGCAGTGGCTGTCAAGGCCACCTTGGAAGACCCTGGGAGAATATGCTGTTTTTGTCAGGGCCCCTCAGCTTGTTCACAGGACTTGGGACTCACTAGACAAGTTCCTGCACGCTTGCAGAGCAAGCACGCTGAGGGTAAAGAGACATTCTGTAAGTCACCAAAAAGAGACCAGGACAATGCCTTGCTTTCAAACACACTAGGGGAGAAACCTTAGCAGTGCTAAAAGACAAATTGGCAATATCTATATCCTCACACAGCATGCTCATTTCACAGGAGTAACCTTTCTAAACACCAATGTGCCTCTGCTGTGTAGAGAACCCTGTAGAAACTTTCTAATCATTTAGAATATACTCCTAAGTTCCTTACAGTACAAACCAAATTCCCTTAGCTACTAAAATCTTGCTGCAATATGCCCCTAGCTAACTTTCCACCACCTACTTTGGGCTCTGCCCCATCATACCACCACGAAGTCATGTGACTACCTCCCCATCTATTTCACTATATAATACACTTCTTAGAAGCTGTCTAGTGGCTGCAAGATCTCAAAGAATGCTTGGCACACACACACACCCTCAGGTTCTTTTGCAAACTACTAAACTGAGTTGTGCCAAATAAGGTCCCAATGACCTTATTAAGAGAAAGGTGGAATCACATGTGTAATCCTAGCTACCCAGGTGGTAGACATCAGAAGAATCAAGGTTTGAAGCCAGCCTGAGTGAACAGTTCATGAGACCTTATCTCGAAAACACCCTTCACAAAAAAGAGCGGGTGGAATGGCTCAAGGTGTAGGCCCTGAGTTCAAATCCCACCGCCACAAAAACAAAAAAATTTAAAAAACAAAACAAATCAAAAACAAAAAAAAAAAAAGAGAGAAAGGTGGGTCCAGGCTAGGATTAGACCCATTCAGATTAGAAGCCACACCCTCAAGTCCTAAATTTCAATTAGCAAAACAGCCTGGACCTGAAATATAGCACTTAAGTAAAACCAAGATAAATGTAATCAACTGATATTTTCTGACACACGGTACCCACGTCCACTTGGACAAGCTAATGACAAGATTAAGTCGTATCAGCAAACACCCATATTTACCTAATTTACACTTGAATCATATTCAGTATTCTTATGCCAGGACAGTTTTCCAATTCACCATTACTTGTGAATTAAAAAAAAAAAATGCACCCACAGGAGTTGAGACTGTGAGGTCCACAACAAAAAAACCTGAGGCCCACTTAGTCAAAGGACTCCTCAGGATAAACAGCCAATTGCAGCCTCATGCTTCAGTTCCACATACAAAACCACCAGGAAATGTTTAAAACAAAAAAGTCTACTTTTCTCTGGGCATGTTTTTTTAATCACTTCAGGAAAATAACTTTCTCTAGAGGGAGCCCATCTCACCCCAGGTAAGACCTTTCCTCCACGCCACACATGCTGGAGCTCCAAAACCCAGAAAGCAAACCCACTAGGAGAATTACTAGAACACTGACTGCCTGGCACCAACTAGGTCCTCAGCAAACAGATGTTCAGGCCTGACTGAACCAGTGGATGAAAAGGACCTACTTTGTGAAGCACTCTTCAGTCTTCCCCACAGATTTAGGAAACACTGTGTTTCCACTGCAGAACTAAACTTAGGTTAACTTCAAAAAAAAAAAAAGTGGGGGGGCAGGCAGGTTAGCCAAGAGCTCAAATGGTAGAAATGCCTGCCTAGTAAGCTAGATACCTTGCATTCAATACCCTGCTACTGCCAAAAACAAACAAAAAACCACTAATGTGCAAGACACTGGTGGCTCATGACTGTAATCTTTGGCTGAGATCAAGAGGATTGGGGGGGTAAACAGTTCATGAGACCTCCATCTCTAAAATAACCAGAGCAAAATGAAAAAAATAACCAGAGCAAAATGAAATGGAAGTGTGGCTCAGGTGGTAGAGCACCTGCTTTGCAAGCCCAAAACTCTGAGCTCGAACCCCAGCTCCACCAAAAAAAAAAAAAAAAAAAAAGCTACAGTTCCTTAAACCGACCAACTAAAATACCTACAATTCCCCCCCGCTGCTGCAGTGGTTCTCCAGCCTCGCTAAAAACTCACAATTACTGGGAAGCAAGTAAAATCTGGAAGTCCCGTCTACAACTCAGCCCACTGAAGTCAGTTTCTCTGGGGTGGGAGGCAGGCACAAGTATTTTAAAGCTTTCCAAGTAACTCCCAAGTGCCACCAAGTGTGAAAATAGCTCTCTACTGAGCTTTAGGCCACCCCCCTTCCAAATGCCTGGACCTACACATTTAGGTGGAGCAGGTAGGGAAGACCCCAGAGACCTACAAAAACACGGTATTTTTCTTAAATCTCCTCCCACCAAAATCCCCACCTCCAACCTCTCAAGCCACGTGCAAAGGGCCTCCCTGATTGCAAGGCTTTGCAGCACCTACCTTAAGGCTGCAGGCTTCCTCCTCTAAAGAAGCCATTTCTTCTAGGGAGGGGTTGGATCCCTTGGACGAAAGAAACCCCCGGGTGCTCCGGATCAGGCAGCCTTGGGAGGCCGCCCCGCCCACACCTGGGCCCGAGGAGTGGGAGGAGGACGACGACGACGAATTTCTGCGGCGGGAGGAGCTCCAGGACAACCTCGGCGTGCAAGCCTCATCGTCCTCCTGCGGGGCATTCAGGCGCTTGGGGCTGCTGGCCCCTGGAGGACGCGACGCAGAGCCACGAGCTGGACGTTTGGAGGGGGCCACATCACCGGGCTCCCGGGGGCAGCTGCGCTTGCTGGGACACCCTTCCAAAGCGCCGCTCCAGTGGTACTTGACCTTGCGCCGCTCCGACGCCATGGGCACCTGCAAGGTAAAAGGAGCATGGATTTCCACTCCATCCTCCCCCGCCACCCCGGCCTCCGCGAAGCCAGAAGGTCAGAGCCAGGCACTGGCCTCACTGACCTTTCCCTCTTCTTTCCACTGCCCATCACAGTTCTCAGCGTTTCGGAGATGCAAAGCGCTTCGGAGAAATCGCGACGGTCAGAGATCCACTGACGGCTTCGGGCTGGGCTTCCCCATCCACAGCGTTACTTCCGAGATCACCAAGCGCTTCTCTTTGCACCGCGCTACCTCGGAGACGCCAAAGCGCTTCCGGGACTGCTCAGCGCTTCGATACAGTTTGCAACACAAAGCCCTTCACAGATGTCAACGCGCTTCCAAACACGCCTGAAGGTCCACACATGGCGGCCGGAACCGCAGCCCTTGGCCGGGCGCGCTCCAGAAGCGCGGGCTGCTGAGGGCGGGCCCAAGGGTAGGGCGGGACCCGGACCCCCACCCCCACCCCCACCCCCGCGGTAGCCCGCCCAGCTCCCACGGCGCAGCCGACCCGCCCCGGGTCGAAGGAGGCCCCCGCCGTCCCCCGGGAGCCGGCGGCACCCCGGCCCGCCGCCGCGACACAGCCTCTGCCCCGCCCGCCCCTGCCCTTCCTGCCGCCGCAGCCCAGACGCCGCCCCGTCGTCCCCACGCCAGGCCGTCCCACCCAGCAGCCAGCACGCCGCCCCGTCGTCCCCACGCCGGGCCGTCCCACCCAGCAGCCAGCTCGCCGCCCGCCCTCTTCCACTGGCCAAGCCGGCCTCCGCCTCCGCTGCGCCCGCCCAGCTGAACTAGCCCTGCGGCCCGCGGCCCACGGCCCACAGAGGGCGGAGCCTGCTCCGCACTCAGAGCGCCCATTGCTCGAATCGGCAAGGGGCGGGACTCTGGGAAGACGGAGCTCGCCTATTGGTTAGGCAACTTGGAGGCCGGTCCCTACGCCATACGAAGCTCGTCCATTGGTTAGAAGCCAGACGGGGCGGAGCCGCTCACGTGGGCCCGAAAAGCGCGAAGCTGCGGTCAGGTGGCAGTTGCTCAAAGCAGACCTCTGTGCTGGTAGGGGGCGTCCGCGGACGGGATTACAAACCCCAAATGGAGACTACCCAAATATGTAGAATATCCATCCGTCTGGCAAAAAATACCAGTGAGGACTGGGGCGTGGCTCAAGTGGTACAGCGCTTGCCTACCCTGTGGTAGGCCATGAGTTCAATCTCCAGTACCGCCAAAATGAACAAAAACAAAAACACCTCACTTCTGCTGGACCAGTAATCACAGGTCCTCAGGAAGCTGAGATCAGGAGGAACAAGGTTCAAGGCCAGCCAGGGAAAAAAGGTTAGCAAGCAAGATCCCATCTCAAGACAGGCATTGGCATCTGTGATCCCAATTGAGGTCTGAGGGCGGCCTGGCAAAAACTTGAGACCCTACCTGAAAAATAACCAAAAAAGGGGCTAGGGATTTGTTCAAGTAGTAGAGCACCTGTCTAGCAAGCACAAAGCTCTGAGTTCAAACCCCAAGACTGAAAGCAAAGAATGAAAACAAGCTCAATATCCATGGAGGAACTGGTTTATCAGTACTCCCCCACTTACAGTGGGGTTACAGCTGATTAAATCCACCCTAAGTTGAGAACATGGTAAATTGAGCACCTTCCCTGAACAAATTCATCTTTATATAGAAGTAATGACAAGATAAATCTGTTGGAATTGGCACTGGTGGCTTACATCTGTAATCTAGCTACTTTGGGAGGCTGAGATCAGGACAATCACAATTGGAGGCCAGGCTCAGCAGACAGTTTTCAAGGCCCCGTTTCCAAAATAACCTAAGCAAAATGGACTGGAGGTGTGGCTCAAGAAGTAGAGCCTCTGCTTTGCAAGCCCCTGCTTTACAAGCACAAAGCCCTGAGTTCAAACCCCAATCCTCAAAAAAAAAAAAAAAAAAAAAACTGTTGGCTTTACAGTTTTATTTTTACAGAAAAATCACTATAGTAGAATTATTTTAAATTTCTCCTAAAGAATTAAAAATAGCATTTGTTTCACAAAAAGATTTGCAACATGATTTTCCAAAAATATAACCATTGCATAAACATTAACTACATGACAAAAATACACATTTAATACCTTTTTTATTTACTTCATAAAGCAGGACAAGTGGATTTTCAAAGTGCTTCTGTAGCCACTGCACCTGTTCCTCCCAACAGTTGTAGCAGGGAGAATGAGCATGGTAATCTTACAAGGAAACTGAAGTCCCAGAAATTAAATTACTGACTTAATTAGCAGAATCAGATTCTTCATCAAGCCATAAATAACACATATTCTCAAAGATTCCATTAAAAACACCAGAACTTGCGGGACGGGAGGAAAAAAGTGCTGAGGAGACAACTAATAAATATCCGTACGTTGCAAGATTAGTGACAGAAGCAGTGGAAAGCCTAAAGAGTCCTGTGCAGGTATATGGCAGTTATAAAGCTTGAGACCTTGAGAGGTAAGCTGAGAACTGCATTGGGACACAAGTTTAAAATCTCAGAGCATGGAATTTTGTAGGTGGCTGTTGGCAGTTATGACACACAGATCTTAACTTTGGAAGATGTCACTGGCGTTGCGGAATTGATCGGTCAGTCGTTCAGGGGTGAGAGCTGCTGGGGCAACAGTACCTCCTTGAGTGTAGTTGTCATCACAGGTTCCCCAGAACCACAAAACCACCCACATCCTGGTCCCAGGTACCAGGCGTTCCATTTCACTCTCTGACTAACAAGTCCCAGACAGGAAGAACACTTCCTGGACTTTTGTGTCTATAACAGCTGAGGTCCCTTCTACCCTAATTCACTCTGGTGTAATGGAACTTTCCTTCCCCTTCATCAAGGAAAGCTCATGTTTGGTTTGTGTGTCTTGCCAGTCCTTGAATTCTGCCTCAGACCTTTTCCTGGATTGTACAGTGTCTTTCCAATTGAGGACAAAGGTCCTCAGCTGTGTTCCAGTCATCAGGGGCCAAAAAGCTCAATGCTGTCCAGTTTCTCCTCTTTGTAGAGCAGGATGTCCTCCATCAATTTCCTTTTGGCTTCATTGATCTCAATTTTCCAAGAAGTTTCTCTAGCTGATGTTCAACAGAAAGTAAAAAGTGCAACTTGAACAAAAGTTACTATCATAATTCTTTGAAAGTCACACTTGGTCAGTCTCACTTAAATGAAGTTTCCAAAGCAGGCCCCAGGTGCAAGAAACAGGTTCTTGGCTTCTGCCTTGGCAGGGAAGCCTACAACTTGTCCTACCTTCCCAGGAGGAGAGGGTGCCCATGCTCCTTCGAAGGCCGGGGAGAACTGGAGTCAGTACTTCCAGCCTTCCTCTCCTCCTTCTCTCCTCTCCATAGGAGTAGGAGTGGTCAGAGCCAAGACCCTCAGTGAGCCAGTTACTAGGGGGCAGGGGCACTCCATTGAAAAGGGCTTCCTTGTGTCAATTTCAGAAGGAAGCCTGGCATATTTGGACCTGAGTGGCAGTGATGAAAAGTCTCTTTAGATAAGTGGCTTGCCAAAAGGAAGAGGCAGACAGGGAAGGACCTCACAGGCCTTATTGGTCTCAGGAAAGAGTTCTCACTCTTCTCTAAGTGCGCAGGGGACTTTAAACAAGGGTGTCATGCATTGTGTTTTTTAAAAAACATTTTCGGCTAGAGTATGGCTCAGTGAGAGATCACTTGGCTAGTATGTGTGAAGCCCTGGGTTCCATCCTCAGCACTGCAAAAAATGCATACACAAATACATAAATAAAAACTACTCTTGCTGGCCCCTGGAGGAAAAACTTATGAGAAGGGACAAGAGTGACTCAAAGAAGCTAGGGGAGACTGTGCAGTTGTCCCAAAAAAAAAAGGGCAGTAGCCCACACAAGGGGAACAATGCAGAGAAGGAGGTGACAGACTTAAGAGGCAACTGGCTAGGACTGGGTGACCGACTGGACACGAGGGGCAGGGAGGAGAGGCTCGTATCAAGGATGACTCCTTGTTCCTCTTTGTGCAATGGGCTGGTCAGAGAATGGCTGAATAACTACACGAAAAAGTGAATGAGGACGATGAAGGAAGAAATGACAGGTCCACTTTGGGTCACACACATGAGCACCCTTTAAACACCTGGACCTCGAGTGCTTACCATCCTGAGGAGGCTGTGGGCCTGCACAGGCCACAGAGCAAGAATCGGCCTCAACTCCCCACCTGGTCGACAGCCTTCCTGCTTCACTCTCTGTGAGGACAGATGGGGAGGCAGCCTCTATAGAGGGGGCTCCCCTCACAGAGGAGGAAGAAGAGGTGTCCAGACTGGAATTGTCAACATCATCCGTTTCCTCTGGGGTGTTGGAGGATGAGCCTGTGCCCTCAGAAAACCCGCTCCAAGCGAAGAACAGCTGACTTCGGAGTCGCTCATCTACTGCAGCTACAAAGCCACGTGCCTTGGGAAGGAGGGAACAGACAAGACACTGGTCAAGAACTCTTAAGCTGAGCACCAGTGACTCACGCCTGTAATACTAGCTACTTGGGAGGCTGAGATAGAGAGGGTCACAGTTTGAGGCCAGCCCAGACAAATAGTTCTTGAGACTCCCATCTCCAAAATAATCAGAGCCAAAAGGACTGGAGGTGTGGCTTAAGCAGTATAGTACTTGATTCGTAAAAGTGAAGCCCTGAAGTTCAACACCAGTCCCACCAAAAAAAAGAAATTTTCTTAAAGAACCAACATCTGGTCTCCCAGGTCTCTGAAGAGAGACACCAAACCATCAAACACTGTTATTGGGAGAACTGCATTCTCCTTTGAAGAGATCCAAACTTGACCCTAAGTCCAGATAAGCCAATCACTGCACCCCTACTCCTCTGGCCACAGTGATTAGTCCAGCTATGAGCACATGACTCAAGCTGGCCAATTGGAATCCTTCCATGAGTTTTTTTTCCACCCAGGGCTGGAAAGAGTCCTCTTCCTTTGCTTTCTTGTGGCAGAACTTGACTCTTCATCAAACACAGGAAACCATTTTACCATAGGAGAAAATAAAGCCTCAATAGAAAGTAAAGCAGAGGCAAGTGACAGAGAGTAAGGCACAGGCACAGAGACACAGCAGCACTTCTGGTGTTGGAGACCCTGGGTCTGTCTTGAGAGCAGAGTAATACCAGTCCTCTCTGCTACTTGGCTAAATGAGCCAGTAAGTTCATTATTTACTCCTTCATATTCTCCCTTTCTCCTATATCAGTGTGTATCTCTAAGAGCTTGAGAGTCTAACACTCAATAAGAAATGCATTAGAGCTGGGTGCCAGTGGCTCAAGTCTGTAATCCCAGCTACTCAGGAGGCAGAGATCAGGAGGATCGTGGTTCAAAGCCAGCCCGGGCAAATAGTTCACAAGACCCTATCTCAAAAATACCCAACCCAAAAAAGTGCTGGTGGAGTGGCTCAAGGTGTAGGCCTTGAGTTCAAGCTCCAGTACTGCAAAAAAAAAAAAGAAAAAGAGAAAGAAAAAGATGCATTAGGTCATACAGATGTTACCTTTGAGGGCTTTTAGGGAGATTAGCAAAATTAGAGGGAATTGGGGAATGAATGCTTGGTTTTTTTTTGCAGTACTGGGGCTTGAACTCCGGGCCTACACCTTGAGCCACTCCACAAGCCCTTTTTGTGAAGGGTTTTTCGAAATAGGGTCTCTCGAACTATTTTCCTGGGCTGGCTTCAAACCTCATTCTTCCTGATCTCTGCCTCCTGAGTAGCTAGGATTACAGGTGTGAGCCACCGGTGCCCAGCTTTGAAAGCTTGTTCTTAGTACACACACACATACCCTTAATAACAAATCTCATTTCCACAGTGCCTTGTAAAAGAAGTCAATGTGTGAGTTCATATATTTCACACAGGATACACAAGAAACTTCTTTAAATTAAAAAAAAAAGATGAGACAGGTTAAGTTCCCAGTGCAGTGAATGTAGCTAGCAAGTGCAGAGCTGAGCAGTGAATTCACCTCCTCCAGGCTGGCATTACGCCTCCGCAGACAGAGGCAGACTGCTGTGGCCCAGGCCTCGGCACAGTCCTCTGGCAGCACACCTGCCCTCTTCTCCAGGTGTTTCTGGCAAATCTCCTTTGCCATCACCTTCTCCACACCCATCTTCCTGGAGCAGGGTGAGGTGGTACTGCTTGGAATTTCTTTGAGGAGCAAGTCCTTCTGTGGGAATGAGAGTGGAAAGGCCCTGTGTGAGCTTTAGGATGTGGTGGCTGCAGAAGCTTCTCAGAAGACCTACAGGACTTTTTGTTTTAATTCAGACATACCAGAAACAAATAAAACCCCCAGGAATTGTAGAATCACTAGAGGATGCACGGGGCATCCATTCTGCATTCATACCACACTGCAGGGGCTTCACCTTTTCAGGCCTCAGTGGCTTCATCAGGAAAATGGGAATAACAAAATGCCTACCCCTAGGTCTAACACAAACAGTAATAAAATAATGTACCGGAGTCTTTACTCCCATTTCCTGCATGGGGAGCAGGAAATGTTTCTCACTCTTTTCCCATTTCTCCCCACTTTTAACCTGTTATACTAATTTCCTTCCTAAATAAATTTTACTATTTTACTATAAAGAATAAAATAATGTACCTGATCACCTGACACAATAAACATTCCATAGTCTACTAGCGATAAGTGCTACTACTAATAATTATCATTTGTGTAGTCTAATTTTATGCATGTGTGTGTGTGTGATACTAGGGTTTGAACCCAGAGCGTTTGTTTGCGAGGCAGGTGCTCCACCCCGAGCCACGCCCCCAGTCCTCATTTGCATAGTCTATTAGTGATAAATCTACTACCAGTATCATTTATATAGACTTACTGCACGATTAGCACTTTACTCACATTGCTAATTTAATCTTATTAACAATCACATAGATGCTTTCTGCCTTTGATGACCATGGTCCCCAGCAAAAAGCTGCTGATGAACAGGGACAAAAGGTGGCAGCAGGCCCTGAAGGTGACCTCTCACAGCACCCACCCTGCCAAAGATGGCATCAGGGACACTGCCAATTTCTGCAAGAGAGAATTAAACCAAAAGGAAAAGCTGGGAATCTTGGTGGAAGGGGCTGCAACCAACAAAAGGAGCAAGGGCAAGGACTTCCCATTTACCTTTTTCCAAAAGGCAGTTGAAATATCTCAAGATTTTTTTTTTCTTTTGCGGTACTGGGGCTTGAACTCAGGGTCTATACCTTGAGCCACTCCACCAACTCTTTTTTGTGATGGGTTTTTTCGAGATAGGGTCTCACGAACTATTTGCCTGGGCAGGCTTTGAACCATCCTCCTGATCTCTGCTTCCTGAGTAGCTAGGATGAAATATTTGAAGAAGAACAATCTGCATAATTTTTGAACATAGCTAACAGCAAGGAAAGTTACAAACTACATTAATTCCAAATCAATGTGAAGAAGAGAAGGAAATGAAGATTAAAATTCATTTATATGAATATGTTGTACAAGTTCTTGAATAAAAATTGTAAACAAATTGCTGGGCACTGGTGGCTCAAGCCTGTAATCCTAGCTACTCAGGATGCAGAGATCAAGAGGATCGCAGTTTGAAGCCAGCTGGGCAATAGTTCATGACACCCTATCTTCAAAAATTCTTCACAAAAATACAGTTGGTGGAGTGGCTCAAGTGTGAAGGCCCTGAGGTCAAACCCCAGGACTGAAAAAAAAAAAAAAGTAGACAAAAAACTTTCATGGATATGGACAATCTCTTTTATAGTACAAAATAAGTGCTTTATTGTTTGTTTTGCAGTCCTGGGGGCTGAACTCAGGGCCTCACGCTTTTGAGGCAGGTGCTCTATCTCTTTAGCCACTCCACCTAAAATAAACACTTTAAAATGCAGAGTCAGGTGTGGTGGTGCATGCCTGTAATCCCAGCACTTGGGAGGCTGAAGCAGGAGGATCCTGAGATTGAGGCCAGTCTGGGCTACATACTGAGTTCATCTCAAAAAAACAAACTAAAACATAGCAAATATAAAATAAGCTCCATTCTGCCTCAATTTCCTTGTCTAGCAAGTGGGTGGTTTGAGGATCCAAGAACACTGCATGCCTGACAGCATCAGGAATTCAGCTCAGCTAAAGCCTCTAGTTGGGCAAGGTTTGCACTCCTGATGCTTTTGCATAACTCTCTTGTGTGAGCTCTGTCTTTAAAAGAAATCCAAGGTCAAGGTGAATAAATCAGTAAGTACAGTCGAAGCCTGTACTTGGTTTACAAAAACAGGTTATCACCACCTGAAACAGAATCAGACATGGTTCACAGTGACTGCCATGAACCACCCCTAGCGGAAAGACAGATCTTATCTTGCAGGCATCGATACGAAGTTACATCCCCATCCCTAATCTTTTGCCAAGAACAGTAGCAAAAAGATGATGGGTCTTCAGGAGTCAGAAGTCAGTCATCCCACCCAAACCTCACACTGGGGTTGTGATGCAATTAGGTAAACCCACCACATCTGAGGAAGCCTTCCTGACAAAGCCATTACCACCAACCTAACTGCCAGGGCACGTGCAGCAAGCAGGAGGATGCAATAGGCAAAACCAGAATGTCAGATGCTCTGTGAGGGACAAATCCACTTTACAAGAGCATGCAATGACAAACTGAAAGAAAAGGGAGGAGGGCCTGTGAGAGCCCTTAAGGAGTCTTAAGCAGTTGGGGTATGACTCGGTGATGGTACAGGGCTTGCCTAGCATACCTGAGGCCCTGGCTTCTAGCCCCAGCACTGCCTATACTACAAAAACCAAGGAATGAGCCCCTGACACCAGCAACCACCACACGATTGAAGCTCAAAGGCACCATGAGAGGTGATGGATGCCAGCACAAATGGGCATCTAGGCTATGGTTCCAACTACATGACAATCTGAAAAAGAACTATATAGGCAGAAACTAGATCACAATTGCCAGGAGCTGGAAATGGGGTAGAGATCAGCTACAAAGGGGCCTGAGGGAATTTTCTGGAATGAAGGACATATTTCCTATCTCAATTGTGGTGGTATCCATTTGGCAAAACTCACAAAATTTCACCCACCTCAGAAGTGTGAGCTGTACCTCAACAGAGATGAGGGTAATGAATACCCAGAGACTCTCACAGAGATGTTTCTGTTGCCTTTGTTTTTTCTTTTGTTGGTGTTTTGAGATAAGGTCTCACTATGTAGCGCAGAGGGCCTATCCTCCTGCTTCAACCCCCCAAGTACTGGGATTACAGGTATGCATCACTATGCCTGCATGGTGCCTTTTTTTATAATGGTCAAAAACTGGAAACCCCCCAACTACCCATCAACGGATGGATGGAGAGATGCTGGTATCTCCAGTGTGGAGACACTCTGCCACAAAGGGAGTGAGCCATGACACAAAGAGCACGCATGACTCTTGAACGAGCATGCTAAACGAAAAACCAGGTGAAACGAGCACACAATATAGGATTTCATTTATTTGGGACACCAAAAATCTGAGCTCTTATATAGTGACAGGAAGCAGATCAGAGGCTGCTGGCTATGGAGGGGGCAGGAAGGAGTGTACAAAGAGAAGGTAGCAGAGATGTCCATTATCTTGATGTAGTGAGAGTTTCACAAGTGTATATATTAAAATTTGTATTAGAGTTGGGGGTGCGACTCAGCAGTAGAATGCATGTTTAGCGTGCTTGAGGCCCTGGGTTCAATCCTCACCACTGCACACACACAAAAAATTATATCACAGACTTTATTTTCATTATTTATATCTATAAACTTGTTTTTGCATACTTACTCATAAATGACTCCATGGTGTTTTGTGTCATAATTCCGTATTGGTTGGTCTTTCACTTGTCTACTCTGCCTTACTATCATCAGTAATGCTATAACTAACATCCTTGTCACCTATCTTTCCTCACACGTGTGTGTTTCTTTAGTGCCACTGCCACAGCTGAGGGTGCACGCCTTTTTAACTAAGGACATTTAAGGCAATGAACACTCCCCTGAGTGAGCAAGCTGTAAGCCAGTGTGGGGAAGAAGCCAGCTTCCTCCACCCTAACCACAGGAGGTGTCAACAAGCTGTCCTCTCACTGAATCTTGATCACCCATCTATCAGATTACATGTACCACAACAGGACATGATGAAAGCCCATACTTGGGTATAGAGAAAGAAACTAGATTTTTAAAATTATATATATATATATATCCCACATTTATAGAAAGTCTTAACAAAGACTTTCTAGATAAGTTCCTAACAGTGCCTGAAAGCCTCTTCTGTGTGTGACATTCAGCAGGGAGCCCCAGAGGACTGCTGGGAACTATGAACTACGAAAAGTCAGGAGACAGGAAAGGCCTCAAATGGCCCCAAACCACATTTACATCTGTACTGCCCAAACTGACCTCTTCAAATGATCCCTGCAAGACCGGTGGGCTCTTGTGCACAAAAGACAGAACCCATAAAGTTCATCAAAGGGACTTTTATGTAGAGAGGGAGGCCACCAGCCTCCACACCCAGAACCCAGGGGATGTTTCTAGGGCTCCTTCTCAAAAAAAAAACAAAAACAAAAAAAACCTGGTGTTCCACAACACACAAGGTGCTCTGCTCCCACTAATGAAGAGGATTGGCACTTGCAGAACACTTGGAACGGTGCAGGAAATGTAGGTTCAGGCTCCAGCTCCACCCCTGCTCCCCCTGCCACTATGTGGGGGTGATGGTACTGAGTTCATATGCTCAGACTGCATGAGATTGAGTGTTTAGGAGAGTGTCATAGATAAGAACTCAAGATGACCTAGCAGGGTTCTAGCCTTGACACCAGGTCTCAGGTGACTCTCAGACCCTGCTCTCTTCATCTGTTGACCAACCAACGTCATGACCCTCATGGGGAGTTTGAGATGACTTAGAAAGATAACATACGTAAAGTGCCCAACACTGAGCAGAGTCAGGCTGACTTTTGCTTTTGAAATGACACTGTGTGGGGGTAGATGTCAGATCTCCAGCCCACAAAACAGAGGGTTCTGGACTGAAGCCTCAGCAGCAAGTACACAGTGGGCATAGCCTTCTCTTCTCACACAGCAGGATGGCTGTGTGAGACCATTCGACCAGAAGTGACTGGGTCACTTACCAGGTAAACCGGGCTCCGATCCTTATCCACAGCAGGGAAGCCAGTGAGGACCTCAGCTAACACCTGGCCAGAACAGAACACGGAGTTAGCACAGTCCAGACACTCTGCATAAGCTGAACAGGAGATTCTGCCCACAAGAGAGCTTTCTTCTCAGTAGCACTGTCTAAGCTCCAGGCTGGCTCTCCCATCTGCCAGAAGAGATGCTGCCCAAACTCTGGAACATGGAAATATCATGGAATACTTCCAACTAAAGAAGCCAGCTGGCTGCCACTGGAAAGTCTCATTAATTGATAGCAAGACAGGGAGTACAGAATTCAAAAATTTCAAGTGTGTGTGTGTGTGGCCAGACGTGGTGGCTCACACCTATAATCCCAGCTACTCAGGAGGCAGAGATAGGAGGATCTTGGTTTTGGCTGGCCTGGGAAAAAATATTAGCAAAGACCCTATCTCAAAATCAAGCTGGTGGGGGGGTTCTGGAGATGTGGCTCAAGCAGTAGAGCACCTGCCTCATAGGCACAAAGCCCTGAGTTCAAACCCCAGTACCACCAAAAAAAAAAAAATTCAAGTATGGGTGTGCATGTATCTATGTATCAAGTTTTTTTTAATATGTTCATATATATATATACATATATATGCATACACACACCACACACACACATACATATATACATACACACACATTTTTTTGTAAAGGTGTTTCATTTTAAAATCCATCAGCAAGAGTTAATAGCATTGCTATGTCAATCTCAGGGAAAGAAAGAATCCATCTGTGGGTGTCTACTCTATACAGAAAAAGTCTCAGCGGCACTGATAGCATGTTTCTACAATAGGGCCTTATTAATATTATTTATTCATTAATTCATCCACTCACAAAGGAGCCCAGTCCCAAACCTGTGTAAACCATTGCAAAATTGACACACCATGATATGTGCCCAAGTGAACAAGAAACCTGCTTTGAACAGGAATTCTCAACAGAGATAAAGGGTTCTAGAGTCACAGAGGTTTGGTCTCCAATTCTGACCCTTCCTTACCAATGCTCAGGTGATATTTTGGCACAAACTAAGAACTGACAGTCTCCTCAGTTGTTAAATGGGCATCGAGCAGTTGTGAATGTTGAAGGATTGAACAGCCCACACTTCATGTCAAATCTCTTTCCCACAACCCCTCCTGAAGCAATTCAAAATAGATGACCCAGGGCCACTGGGATTAACAACAGACTGGAAGTGGCCAGCAGGAGGCAGCAGAGGGCACCACTGCAGCAAGTGGGACTAGAGACAATTGCAAAGGAATTCATGACCAGGTTCTGCCAGGAAGGGAGACTGAATAAGCACTTTCTTCTGCCTCTGCCACACTCTGGAATGGATGAGCGCTTTACCGGGATCATTTAGGGCTCATCAAAAACACTGAAAGGCCGGGGGTGCCGATGGCTCATGCCTGTAATCCTAGCTACTCAGGAGGCAGAGATCAGGAGGACTGTGGTTCAAAGCCAGCCTGGGCAAATAGTGCATGAGACCCTATCTCAAAAAAAAAACCATCACAAAAAGGGCTGGTGGAGTGGCTCTAGGTGAAGGCCCTGAGTTCAAGCCCCACTACTAAAAAAAAAAATGCCCTCGCTCCTGACAAGAGGAACCAACATTCAAGATCATAAAAATCAGTCAGTGGTAGGGCTGAGAAAAGGGGTGGAGAGGGTGGTGAGCATTCAATAAGTGACTGAACACATGAGTGGATGCACAAAAACTAATAGTTTTGATATATGCAGAATAGAAGGTTCCGTAGTCAAGCGAAGTTGGGAAGCCCTGCATTCCCTACAAAGACCAGACATAGGCTCATTACCATATCAAAAGCTCTAATTAATCTCTTGGTAAAGAAACCTTGTTAAAGTCAGTATTTTCCAAAAAACAAAACCCTTTTAACACTCCTGTCCTATAGAGACATCAAGGAATTGGCGTGTATTCTGCAGATTGCTAAACTCACACCATGAGCTCTTGTGGAGCTTGTGTTTTAGTGACATTTAGCTTTAAGTGCCTGGCACGTGTCAGAAAGGACAGGCTGGAGGTGAGGGTGGAGGGTGCGGGATGGGTAGACGGATACTGAACGGACAGGCGGGTATTGGAGGATGGATGAATGCACGTTGGCTGAATGGCTGGATAGTGGATAAATAAACAAGGACAAACTGACAAGTGGATACATGAATGGGAATCCAGGAAAGTCAAGAGATCTTCAGGGAAGATAGTAAATAATATCTCCAAGGAAAATAATGTCTGTCTAGAATCTGGACAGGCATATATGGCTATACTTCAGAGTTGACAAATATTTTTATAATGAACCACAGAATAAATATTTTCGTCTTTGTGGATTAAATAGAGTCTCTGTCACAGATTCATCCACTCATCCATGCATATACATAAACACACACAAACTGAAAACTAGTCTTGGGCTGGTAGAGTGGCTCAAGTGTAGAGTGAGCAACTCCTAGCAAGTGATGTGAGGCCTTGAGTTCAAACCCCAGTACCTCAAAAAACAAACAAGCAAAAAAATCTACTCAGCTTACAGGCCATCTAAAATAGGCCATGGAAGCTTGTTGGGCATGGCAGCACAAACCTATAGTCCCAGTTACTCGGGAGCCTGTGGTGGAAAGATCACTTGAGCCCATGAGTTCAAACCCTGGACAGTATTGAGACTCCATCTCAAAAAAAAAAAAAAGCTGGGTGCCAATGGCTCACACCTGTAATCCTAGCTACTCAGGAGACAGAGATCAGGAGGATTACATCTTGAAGCCAGCCCCAGACAAATAGTTCGTGAGATCCTATCTCGAAAAAACCCATCGCAAAAAAGGTCTGGTGAAGTGGCTCAAGGTATAGGCCCTGAGTTCAAACCCTAGTATTGCAAAAACAAACAAACAAACAAGACTTGCTGGATGTAAGGCTCGGTGGTAGAGGTGCTTAGCATGAGTGAAGCCCTGGGTTACATTCCTAGCACCACAAAAAAAAAAAAAAAAAAAGCCATAGAAGGGATGGGGTATAGTTCAAGCAGTAAAATGCTTGTCTAGCAAGCGTAAAGCCCTGAGTTCAAACCCCAGTACTGGGGGGAAAAAAAAGATAAAATAGAACAGGGAGCAGATCTAGCCTATAGCCCACAGTCTGCCAGCCCCTGCTGCCCTTCCTTGGAACATGCATGCGTGTCTCCACAAGGTCCTGCACTTACTGAGGAGCCACGAGAAGGGTAAATGAGTAAAGACCCAAGTCTGAGCAGAGAAGGAACCCCTTACTATTCCACAGCTGAAAACATCCACTCGCTTTGTCAGCTGCCCCACTCTGATGAAGTCTTCTGGCAGATATGCCGCTGAGGCCTGGAAAAGGCGAGTCTTCATCATGGTGTACTTTGACCTCTTGTCCACAGGACACAAGTGAATCATTGGATGACCCAACTTGGGGATGAAATTTTCATCCAGCAAAATGTTGGAACTGTGGAAAACCAAATACGGAAAATCTCATTCTGAGCAGGAGAGACTGCCATGGAGACCCTTTTGAAAAACAACTTAGCAGTGAGCAACATAAGCCCCTGTAAGTGGGGATCACTGAAGACCCTTGACATGGAGTTTCTGGGCCAGTCCTGACAGGGGAAGGCAGAGCACTGGGAACCTACTCCCTCCAGGAAATGGGGATGGAGTTAAGAATGAGTCCAGTTGCCCCAGGAATGTGGCTGAAGAGGTGCAGCCTCCCCACCCCATCTCAGTTTGCCAAGGCCATTGCTTGTGCTTACTAGGTCCTTCCAAGGCCATTCCCACCCCCAGCTCTGGCCTGCTTGGTTCAAGTCTAAACACCAGTATCATTATGACTCAGCTTGCCCAGATTGTAGGGAATAAGAACATTAAAAAAATTACAAAGATCAGTAAAAGGATCCTTTGACTCACTCATGTTACCAGTGGGAGGTAACTCAGAGAAAGTATTCCAGAGGAGGGAAAACAAGAAGCTAAACTACAGGTGTACAACTAATGCCAAACAGAATTTTTAAAAGTGGGCATCAATTCTGATATCCACTATTAAGTAAATTATGAGTAAATTTCTTTAGTGGAAAACTAAGAAATCACTAAAAACATGATAATACACAACGTGGGAAAATTCTATGTCTAAACAAGGCAGAAAAAACAGAAGATGAAAGGATTTGTGTGTGAAGGGGCCAAAATGAGAAACTAAAAATAGGTTGGGATGTGAGTCAGCAGTAGGGCACTTGCCTGCCATGTGCAAAAGCCTTGAGTTTGACCCTCAGCACCACAAAAAACAAAAAACGGTGCCAGGAGAGTAGGTTGGTGATGACCTCTCACCCTTTCATTTCCTTTCTTGAAAGTACAATTGGTATAGTTAAGTAAAAACAAGGAGGGAGAAATGGGGAAAGAACACCCATGTTTACATGTGCCAATGGAGAGAGAACCTTGGGGAGCTGGGAGTTCTATGGCTCTGGGGCTAGTTCTGCCAGATTTTCTGAAATCTCTCCCCATGCTATCCATTCCCAGATGGGAATTTCTTACTCTTGGATGCATGGGCTGAGGTGCTGGGGTACAGGGAGGCTCCCTGACAAGAAACTATCACCAACAGATGCAGAAGCAGGACTTGGGACTCCCAAGAAGAGCCTAAACAGAGAGCTCAAAATCCCAGGGGGCTTGTAGATATGCCCCAGAGCTCAAGGATAGGGTCTAGGATGGCCAGTGAAATGCACAGGGGTGCAGAAAGCTTGTTGGGAAGCAGCAGCTCAGAAAGACAAATGTAGTGACAGGGTAGGCAGTATATAACAAGAGTAGGAAAGGAACACAACAAGAAATAAAAGGAGAGACCAGGGAATGAAAGAAGGTGGGAGGAGAAAAGCAAGGAGAAGAAAGACAGAGAGAGAACCCAAGAATAAGGCCTTGGTGGGGTCCAGCCCAACCCTCTTACCTCTTGACATTGCCATGGATGATGTCCAGGCCATGCAAGTGTTCAACGGCACAAAGCAGCCCTAAGCAGATGCTGGCACGCTGGAGCCAGGGCAATGGGTCTGAAGCACCCTAAAAGAAAGAAGAGAAGGAGGAGGAAGAGTCACCCCAACGCCTTTCTAAAGTGCTAGAATGCTGGCCTAGCAAGCATGAGGCCCTGAGTTCAAACCCCAGTACTGCCAAGAGAAAAAAAAAAAGAAAGAGAAAAAGAAAATATGTAGTGTTGACGGCCAGGTCCTGGGCTCCTGTGCCCATCCCCAGCTATCACATCCATCCTCAGCAACAGGGCTCAGCCAGCATGACTAACCAGCATGTTTCTATATTTGACATCATATAGATCTATGTGTAAATCCTAGCTCAGACTGTGACCTTGGGAAGGACACCTAAGGTCTCTAAGCCTCAGTTTTTCTGGGTATAAAATGGAAATGTTGGAATATTGCTCATTAGTACAGCACTTGCCTGGCATATGCATAGTCCCAGGTTTGATTCCCAGCTCCGCAAAAAAAAAAAAAAAAAAAGAAAGAAAGAAAGAAACAAGAAAAAAAAGGAAAAAGTTCATCCCTAGATTTAGGGTTGCTGTAAAGATTCAAGGAAGTGTACATGCTGCCCTAGAATGCATGCTCAAAAAACAGCAGCTGTTTTTATCCTGACTATTACAGAACTCTGGAACTTCTCTAGGAGGGCTGGCTGGGAGAGGAGTTAGAGAGCTCATGTTTGCACACCACACACATGGCCTTATACCAGCTTCATGTGTACTAGGGAAATTCACCTGTGCTAAGGAAACGGTGAGTGCACAGGTACTGCCACTGCTGTGCTAAGACCAAATCTCCCAGGTGAAATCCCCACCTATCACCACCCCTCCGAGTCCATATAGTCTAAGAACTGGCTCAAACAACCCCACCTCATAGATTTCTTTTCAAAAATGCTTACATCTGGATGGAGCCAGATGAAGTCAACTGAAACCCTGGCCTGAAACTTGTTAGCTGTGCTTCCTTGGGAAAGTCAAAAGAGACTCTCTGGGCCAAGGACTGCTCTTGTGGAAAACGAGGGATACCTCTTTCTTTGTAACAGGCCCACAGAAGATGACAGGTATAAAGGTTTATCAAGGTGTCCAGCACACAGAGACCAGGAGAACAGGCAGTCATTAGTGCACCTGAGTGGCAGTTTTCCTGTGGAAGACTACTGCGGGCCTCCTGTAGGTCCTTAACCTTGCTCCCTAACTGGGGACTACCAGCGACTATTTCTGACCGTGGCCCCACCCCTTACCTGATTCAGGAGTTTGTCCTGCAGGGACCCATTTGCCATGTAGGGGTAGATCAGGCTGTAGAACTCTCTTCCAGCACAGAAGCCCAGGAGAGGTAAGACATTGGGGTGGCAGCATCTGAAACCAAGCACCAACACAGGGTGAGGAGGGGAACAGAAAGGAGAGCCAAAGGCTGAGCCTCTCTTCCCTCTCTGCCTGCTGCACTCCTGAGGCCACCAGTAACCTTCCATGTTACTGCCATCTAAGAGTCCCACCCTGCTTTCCTGCTCTGCAGCATGACACAGACTCTACCCCACCTCCAGGAACAGAGGCTTAGAGGATGAAGACTTGCCCAAGGCCACAAGCCAGCAAGCAGTGACACCAGGACCTTCCGCCTTGGTTCTTCCCTGAAATCCTCCTCTGCTGATCTGAGTCGCCATTCCCTCCTGGCTTTCCTTCTACCTCTCGGGTCACTCTAGGCCTTTTTTACAAGAGCCTCCTCTTTTCCCTTCCTCTGAAACAAAGGTGTCCCACAGCCAGCTCTTCATCTTGTTTTAGACACTACTCCTCCAGGTGCCTCCCACTACTATTAGGGGCAGTCCCAACCTGTTAGCTCCAGCCCCATTCTTAGGACTACATGGCAGTGTCTAACTGCATCCCACGCTCGGGACATCATGCTAGGCCAACAGTCCCAACTTGCTCATCCACCCTATGTGTGGCAAAGGACATGCCACCCATCCAGCTTCCTGAAAACCTCCTGACTTCCTGCATCCCGTTAGTCACCACTCACTGTCACACACGGCTTTCAAAATGTTTCCTCAATCCCCTCTCCTCTGCCTTGGGTCACACCCCAATCCCATCTCTCCAGGACTATGGCAAATGGCCTGATCCCTCCACCTACCTCCACTCCCTTAAAGCCACCCCACTTCACACTTGTCACACTCCCCACTGGGCTGTAAATGTCTCCAAGGCGGGGTTGTACATGCTTCAAGTCTGCGCTTCTTGGAGCCTGGGAAAGGCTGGCCTACTCATGTTACTTGAATCAGGGAATGAGGAGGTGACTGCCAACCACATGAATGCACTATGCCAAAGTGGGAGCAGAATTAGTGGGATGGCAGAGTGGCTCAAGAGCTAGATGCCTGCCTCGCAAGCATGAGGTTCAGAGTTCAAACCCCAGTACTGCAATAAAAAAATTTAAAAAAAAAAACAGAATTAAGAATTATATTTCCAGTTTCCATGAAATGTGTGTATATATGCACATGCATACATGCATGTATGAAAAAAGATTTAAAAATTATAAAGTATTGCTATAGTAGTGCTGTGGAAAATAGGTGATATCTATTTACTTATTTATAATTTTCTCTCTTTTTTTTTTAACAGTACTGGGGTTTGAACTCAGGCCTTCATGCTTGCTAAGCAGGTATGAGCCACACCTCCAGCCTTTTTTTTTTTTTTTCCAGTGTTGGAAATTAAACCCAGAATGGGATGGAAACAGATTTCTTTTCTCATGGAAGGAAGGAGATGGAGTGAGATAAGTTCCTTCACTCTAACCTATGCATAATTTGCTATCTAGGAAAAGCACAGATTCTGGACACAGACCATGTAGACTCAAATCGGAGCTACACACTAGTTGTGTGATCTTGGACCACAAACTTGACTTCTCTGGGCCTCAACTTACCCATCTGCAAAAAAATGTGGTAATAGTGGTCACATTATAGCACTCTTGTGAGGACTGAGTGAGTTTTTATGTAATATGATTCCAATGTGTCCCTTAAAGTTCATGTGCAGAAAACTTATTCCCTAAATTCATAGCGAATGGTATTTGGAGGTAGAGTGGGTAGAAGGTAATTAGAATTAGGTAAGGTCAGGAGGATGGGGTAGCATTCAAAAGGAGGAAGAGAGGCCAAGCTGGCACATCCACTGTCTCTCCAAGTGGTGCCCTCCACCAGGTTATGATGCACCACCAGGCCCTTACCAGATGGCAGCAGCATACTGTTAAACTTCCAAGCCTCTGGAACCAGGAGTCAAATAAACCTCTATTCTCTATAAATTACCCACTTGTGGGGTTCACTTATAGCTACAGACCAAGATAATCAATAATAGAGTACAATAGAAGGGCTATTTGTTATCACTGAAGCAAGCGTTCTCCAAAGGGGCGCTTACCTAAGACTAATCTGCACCTCCGCCTGGAAGAATCTTTCCATGGATCCTGGACTTGAGCAGGCCATCTGTGGACAGAGACACTGGAACGTGAAGACCCAGCCTCGGCCACGCAGCCTCCACCTCTCACCAAAAACCCACCAGGTTCACCTCTCTGAGCTTCTTGAATACAAAGGGCACCCCATGCCTTTGCCCTCTGTAGATGTCAGCAAAGGTCCCCTCGCTGATTCTGTGGCTTTGGTCGAAGTCACTGGTTGCCTGGACCACATCTGCCTCACTCCAGAAAAGGCTGTCTCCAGGCCAGCTCAAAGGCTTTTCCTGCTTAGGAATGGAGGTGCTGACATCCTGGAATGAGAAAGAAGAGATGGCAATTATGATGGAGGCTTGCTTTTCTGGCTCCCTCCCGGACCCTAGAATACCATTGCTCAAGGGATGAAGGGGATCTGGGCAGAAAGGAAATGGACAGGCCCAAGCCCAAATCCCAGCTCCACCTCTGACTTGCTCTGTGACCTCAGCTAAGTTGCTCAACCTCTTTGAGCCTTAATTTCCCCATGAGCAAAAATGAAGATAACAGCAGTACCCTGGAGGGTAATTTTGATTTACCAACATCTGCGTATTTCAAGGGATCAAAGAGCTGAGGTAAGGTCACACAGTTGTCAATGGCCCAGCTTGGTGCACTCACGTCCTGTACATAGTGTATATGCCAGGCCTCTGGAGTTCAGGAAAATAAGGTAGGGATTCATATAACCAAGGCAATTCTCTTTCAGAGTTTTGGAGATTTGGTGCATATTAGAAGCCTATTGAAAAAAATTCTGCTTCAGTAACTTCCCTTTTTAAAAACAGGTACACAAAAATTTTAAATTGTTTTAAGTTACAAATGTCCTTATTAATAGTTTTAGAAAATTAGAGGCAGAAAATTCTCTCCAATCCCTTTATCCACTTAACTGCTATTAAAGTTTAGCACATTTCCTGCCAATTAGATACACTAGGCTTGATTTAGCACAAATGAGAATATGCTATATTAATACAGAGTTTGGGTTTCTGTTGTTTTTCACTTGACATTGTGCATACTCATTCTCCCAAGTGATTAAGTCATCCTTGAAAATGATTAACTTTAAAATCAAAAACTCTGCCCCAAAGAGCCTCCTTTATAGAAGATCTTCATTAACCAGACCCTCCAAGAGCTGCCTTCTTCCCCAGGGCCACAAAAACATTTTTAAGTCTTTTAAGATCAGAAGAAAATAGCCAGGTATAGTGGCACATACCTATCGTCCCAGCACTCTGGAGGCTGAGATAGGAGGATAAAGACTTCAAGGCCAGCCTGGGCTACATAGTGAGACTCTCTCTCAAAACAACAATAACACAAAACAAACAAACGAAAAAACACTGAATAAAGGAACTTTTATAGTTGAACAAAGTGTTCTTTCTCTACCTCTCGCTCTCTCCCTACCTCCCTTTCTCCCTTCTTTCTTTTTTTTGTGATTATAAGCTTTTTCCTCCCTTTTTTCCTTCTGTTCTTCCTTCCTTCCTTTTTTTTTTTCTTTTTCCTGTGCTAGGAGCAGAACCCAAAGCTTCGTGCATGTTAGGCAAGCACTCTATCACTGAGTTATATCCTTGGCTCAAAATTCAGGATAAGTGACTAAGTTGTTCAACCCAGTATTGAAAAAATTGTTGGTTGGGGGGTGATAACCAAAACATTTAAAGTGAGGAGGATGTACCAAGAATCAGTGGTCCTAGGTACTTGGGAAGCTGATAGAGGAAGACTGAGGATCAAGACCAGCCTGGGCAAATAGCTCGTAAGACCCTTTCTCCAAAATACCAGAACAAAATAGACTGGAGATGTGGCTCAGTGGTAGAGCGCTTGCTTGCCTAGTGCCTGTGAAGCTTGAGGTAATGTGATGAGTCTCCTGCATTTTTGAGAAGGCCACCAGCCAGGAACCTGGCTGGGGCAGAAGGAGAGGAAGGATTTACCTTCAGATCTGATGAGGCATCCTCCTTGGAAGGAAATGGGTGCGAGGCCTGCTGGGAGGTCCTGGACGCCACAGACCCTGGAAAGGAGGACAGGACTGTGGGTCAGCACACAACCTGAGGGAGGCAGGTAGGGTGTCAGTCTCCTCCACAGACCAGCCTGTCTCTTGTTCAATGCTGACAATTCCTGACACCACACACCAGCCAATACACTCCATGGCTCATTTAAGCCTTGTGACAATTTATGACATAGGTAAGATTTATCACTGACAGGTGGAGAACAGGAAGCACAGGAGGTGCAATGGTACCCGGGACCACAAGGCTGGAGAATATTGAAGTCAGATATCGCCCCCCCCACACTGTCTCTCTACTGGGCGAGCAGCACAGGACCCAAGCCTGTCTTCCAGAAACCACCACAGCTCAGGAGGCAGACACCATACTCCAAGGACAAAGCCCAGGGAAAAGTGAGGTCAGAGGTAGGAGACACAACAGTTTGCTGGAGACAAGGAGGGTTTCACCCAGGAAAGAGCACTTGACCTAAGCCTGAAAGATGGGGAAACATCCAAGAGTGAAGTTTGAGAGACTGAGGGGCAGGGCAAGAAGAGGACCCAGGCTGCAGTCAGGAAATCTCCAGGTGCAGTTAATTAGCAAACCCTTCCATATGGGCCAGGCAGTCTTCTAAATGCTTCCCACATGTAACTCATCTGCACACAACAGTCCCAGAAGATAAAAGACCATTATCACAGAGTGTGCTCTTACTCCTTAGGTGAGAAAAAAGATTCATAAGAGAGAAATCTTCAAGAGAAGTATAAGAGCCAAGCACTGGTGGCTCACACCTGTAATCCTAGCTACTCAGGAGGCAGAGAAGCCAGCCTGGGCAAATAGTTCTCAAGACCTGTCTTGAAAGAAACCATCACAAAAAAAGGGCTGGTAGAATGGCTAAAGGTATAGACCCTGAGTTCAAACTCCAGAAGCACAAAAAACAAAAAAAAAGAGTAGTTTACAGTCAGTTCAAAATCAGACTAAAAGCTGGGCAACCAGTGGCTCACACCACTACTTGGGAGACTGAGATCAGGAAGATCTCGGTTTGAAGCTGTCGTGGGCAAATAGTTTGAGAGAACCTATCTCAAAAAAACCCATCAAAAAAAGGGCTGGTGGAGTGGCTCAAGGTGTAGGTCCTTAGTTCAAGCAAAAAAAAAAAAAAAAAAAAGACAAAAGGCTCTGCATAGGTTACATGCAGCTACACCATTTGATATAAGGGACTAGGGTATCCGCAGATTTGGGTATCCTCAGGGGTGTGGGACCCATCTCCCATGAGTACTGAACAACGACTGTATCAGAACTCTGGTCATCACTGATCATCACTGAAGTCGGATGACAGACACATGAAGGCTGTGTGGAATTTCCCATCTGAAAATGTTTTAAAGCAATCATCTAGAGGAAGAAAAGAGATCAAGACAGTAGATGAAGCAAATGAAGCAAGACACAACGTGCACTTCGCACACACGGCCCCTGTGAGATGGGAGGCAGAGGGCGGGTGTTGTTCCACACTCAGCACGAAACTTTAACTCTGGTGACCATGGAAGGACAGGGAGCAGGGACACTCCTCCATGCCTCACCTATCCAGCAAGGTCAGGGAAGGTTGTTCTACATAAATGTCTCCAAAACACTAAGATTAAGCCTTGGAGCTTCAAAATCTTCACTAAAAACAGAAAAGATTCTTCCGCAACACCTGCTTCCTTAAGCAGAATGCACGGTCTCTCCTGCGCCTGCCCCGCTGCGTAGGAACAGCAGATGCAGGGGGCTGGGTCTAATGCAGTCTCCTGCTGCCGACCTCCAGGCTTTCCCATGCGATCTGATGAAATAAAGGATTCCTCTCCTATTTTCAGTTTGGGCAAATAGAGACAATCAACCTCCTGAATCTGGCTGAGGATTGCAGTGACCATCTCCACCTCCAGGGTACATTTGCTCCCCAGGGACATTCAGAAAGTAAGCTCTGCAAAGGCTGACCACAAAGGTGACACTTGTTTCTACAGTAACCTAGATAAGATAAGGAACGAATGAGAATGAACCACTATGCCTGCTTACCTCTTCCCTCCTGACCTGTGCTCCCTAGAACTCCTGTCTTTTCATTTTTCTGTTTGGCTAATGACCAGTGCAACATTTGCCTAGGGACCATTTCCTTCTATCAGTAATTGCTAATCAAAGGTCTGCACTCTTTTTGAAAATATCTTCAGCTACAGGAAACAAACCAGACTCATTGGCCTATAGTGAACTTTCCAGACTCAACTTTTTGGCGTGTCTGGAGTGTTCCTAATGTCTGCTAATGTTTAATGAGTACTTTCAAGGCAGACAACTAAAGTGTATGACTCTTCACAACAGGATGCAGTAGGTTCTATTCTTTTTTTTTTTTTTGTATGTTTTGTAGTAGGTTCAATTCTTATTCCATTTTACAGATGAAGAAATTGAGGTATAGGGAAGCTGAGAAATTTTCCTAGAAACTGGCAGTGTTGGGATTCTAATACAGGTGGATCTGCCTGAGCTGGAGGTGTGGCTCAAGTGGTAGAGCACCTACCTAGCAAGTGCAAGACCTTGAATTCAAACCCTAGTACCCCTGAAAACAAAACAAAACAGGAGACCTGCTCCTCCTGGCCAGCGCTGACTCTGGCTTCAGGAACTGCCTTAATGAACTCAGATTTCATAGGTTTCGGATCTTTGGTTCCTTGCTCAGAGGCCACAGGACTGGGGAAGTGAGGTTCAGCACCAAGGGAGAGGCAGTAAAAATGAAGACACTGGGTGGAATATCAGTTTCCCTGGGAAAGTCATCCTCAGGCAGAGTCCTCCTGTCATCTGGCAAACTGTCTCACAGCCTGGACTTGGGCACAAAGGTACGACAGCAAATCTGATGTGGTCTGCGAGGCTCTGGGACAGCAAGAGATACAGTGGTTTGGGACATCAGCACTCAAATTCCATGAGTTAGATGCTTCTTCCCCTTCCTGTGGCCTCCAGTCAATGGCCCTCCCTCTCTTCCCTCTCTGCACTTCGGTCCCCTAGGACAGCAGCAGTATAACAGAGGAACGGGGACACACCCGTCAACTGCTTTGGCACAGCTGTGAGGGTCAGACCCTAGACAGAGGTGGCCAGGCACCCAGCCCGGAGCTCCTGAATGGGGCCAATCTGTCTTCAGGCCTGGCAGCATCTTGACCTTAGCTACATGGTTTCTCCCCTCTATGCCTTGGCTTCCTCTGTGTAAAATGGGAGTAAAAACCAATACCTAACTCATACAGACAGCTGAAGATTAAGTCAGTCAACATCTCTGAGCTACTTATAACACAGGGCCTTAACCTTGAGCCACTCCGCCAGCTCTTTATCGTGATGGGTTTTTCAAGATAGGGCCTCTTGAACTATTTGCCTGGGCTGGCTATGAACCTTGATCGTCCTGATGTCTGCCTCCTGAGTAGCTAGGATTACAGTGAGTTATGGGAGCCTGGAAACAATATTCTTTTCTTGCCTAACTTTTTTCACTTTTTGTTTGCTTATATTTTTGTTTTGTTTTAAAACAGGGTCTCACTATATTGTCCCCTAGTCTCAAACTCAAGGGCTCAAATGATCCTCTGACCTCAGCATCCAAGTAGTTGTAACTACAGGCATGTGCCACCTGCCCAATTTTTTTTTTTATCAATTTTCTAACTCACTATCTTGTGAGCATGTGTCCATGTTCAGATACACATCTATGCTACTGTTAACTGCACTTTAACGTCTGTCACTAATTTCACCATCCCTCACTGCTATTTCCAAATTTTGGTCTTGTATATGCTAAGTTGAATATCCTTATAGATATATCTTCATTTCCTTAAATAGATTTGATTTAGGTAAATATAAGTTAAATTAAGAATACCTGGGTCCAGAATGGTGTCCGGCCTTACAGGCTGCTCCTTTTCCTGTTCATCCTGGGTGTTTCTTACAGAAGCTGCCAAAGGCCCTGGCTTCACAGCTCTTGGGAAAGCTGGGAGGGGAGATGTGATCTCAGGAACTGGTTTCCCTGCAAACAAGGTGGAAAGAAGATTACTGTTGTTTTATAACATGGACTAGCTGTGAAGAGACTAAGTCTGAAAGTCAGGGACCTGGGTTCTAATTCTGACTCTGCCACAAATTCACAGTGTACTTTCCCTGTCTGGGCCACAGCCTCCTGTCTATGCAATGTGGTGACTGGACATAACAATCCCCTGTGAGGTCCACCTCTGACATTCCCCATCACACACACCTGACTCCTGACCCTGCTAGCTGTGTGACCTTGGACAAGTCACTCTCCACCTCTAAGCCTCTGCTTTCTCACCTACAAAATGCAGATCATGATAGTATCTACTTGTCTCCCTGCCAGGGATATGAGCATGCAGGTAAGCAAGCTAAAGACAGCCATCCCTGGACTGAGGGTGTAACTTGGTAGTTAAAAAAAAAAACAATCCCTCTAAGTCGACCCGTGAGCCCCTGGCATGAAAGTTTTGGTGTCCCCCAGTTTCCCTGTCACAAGCCACAGACAGGAATTCAAACTACCAGGTCCTACTGAGAAGCAACTATGCCAGGCTCCAGCCCAGCCACACAGCCAGCAAACCCTCAAGCTATCTTTGCATTTCCTCCCTGTTAGCGGTGAGAAAATTGAGGGCTGAGCAGTGAGCTAACTTGCCCAAGATCACACAGCTGAGGCAGGCAGGCTGGCTGCAGAGGTCACCTACCTTTTCAGTCATCAGTGCCCTTGGCACAGATTTAGGGAACCCCAAAGGTGCTGGGAGGGTGGGGTGTGTTGACATGACTCCCATCCAGTTTCTAAAGAGTGGCTCCCTGTGAAACAGTTTCCCCTTCCTCCACCACTGCCTAACTGGTCCTGTCTGGCCTCTGGCTCAGAAAGCCCCACACCCCTCACCATGCTGCACCTTACTGAACTGCAGCTTTGGCCTTGTCACTTCTCTTCTTAAAGGGAAGCACTAGGGCTCTCCATTACCTGTATAATGGTTATGTACCTTAGCCTGAACCCTATCACCCCTCTTCAGATAAAACCCAAATTGTAGGTCTGGGGGTGTAGCTCTGTGGTACAGCGCTTGCTTAACACGTGTGAGGATGTGGGTTCAATTCCCAGAACTGGCGGGAGGGGATTCCACAGTCCTGCATTCAAAGACCTTGGCTCTCTCTCTGGTGGTTTGGGGTAGACCCACGTTTGAGAACCACAGAAACATGGGTACTGAAGGTCCAGGGAAGTTTATCAAGTGGCTGAATCTCATAGCTGCACTTATTCTAAGTAATAAAGTGTATCTCTAAAGGAAGCTAACTGTTACTGTGGAACTAGGTTTTCAAACCTGAGCTTCAGGTCTACAGCAGTATTAATGATACCTAAATTTGTAGAGGGCTGCACTTGTATAGAAACATGCAGATTACCTGAACTGGTGGTTAACAGTTACTTGCTGTTTCAAATTTATTTATTTTTCATTTATTTATTTTTTGGCAGTGGCAGGGATGGGGCCCAGGGCCTCACACATGCCAGGCAAGCGCTTTGTCACTTAACAGCACCTCCAGTCCTCTCCCAAGTACTTTGAACTGCTCTGGATTACATATACTAACACAGTGTAAATGCTATGTATATTGTTTAGGGAGTAATGATATGGAAAAAACGTCTGCATGTGTTCAGTACAGATGCAACTTTTTTGGAACTTTTTTTTTTTTTTTTGCAGTACTGGGGATTGAACTCAGGACCTGCACCTTGAGACACTCCACCAGCCCTTTTCCCTGAAGGTATTTTTCAAGATAGGGTCTCAAGAACTGTTAGCCCGGACTGGCTTCAAACTGACATCCTCCTGATCTCTGCCTCTTGAGTAGCTAGAATTACAGGTGCCCAACTCCAAAAACTTTTATAACAACCTGGGGTTTTTTTTGTTTTGATTTTTTTTACTTTTATGGTAACTAAAAAGATGTATGGTGTGGAAGGTGCTATCAACATTGTTGAATAAAAGAGGAGGAATTTATCATCTGTTACCAGTTTGGGGTAATATGCACATGAAAAGACAGAAGAAATCTCTATTTGGAGAGAAAAGGACCCTGAAGAATACACACCAAAATGTATGACCTCTATTATTTTGGGGTGAAAGGTTAGCAGGATTCCTACATTGTGGGTTTTTTCTTTTGCTTTATTCCTATCAGAACTTTTCAACAATGTCCATGCATTCCTCACATAATAAAATATATTTGTGAGAAAAAAGAAAAACAAGCCAAAAATAAATAAATTAATTAAATAAAATATATTTGTTACAAAAAAAAATCAGTGAGCAAGCTAAGTTAAAATAATGATATCCGCGGAGAAAGGCAGCACTTCAGGGGTACTGAGGCAGGAAGGCAGGAAGGCAGGGGCCCCTCGCAGCGCCTGGGCCTCAGGAACATGCACTTCATCACCCCTAGGTCCTGGACATGTTGGAGGGCAGTTCATGAGCCATGCCACCGAGGTCATCATCCTCAGAGTCTAGAAGCCAGGCCCTCGCCTTGTTGAACCACACCGCCTTCACAGGACCAGGAGGGGAACAGACAGTCCCCTGGACAATTGCCAAGGCAAATGCTGATTCGTGAGTGGGTGTGAATCAGTGTTGCCCTCCCAGGCATATCATGAAAAACGGGCCTGTCCCCAGCAGGCAGGGCAACTCCTGCAGCTATGAGGCTTCATTGTGCCTGGCCTCTGCTCTGTAGCCACCTTCGCTCCACAAAACAACACCGATGGGAATCCCTTTTCCTCAAAGGGCAGCCAGCAGTGTCCTCCTCGTGACATCTGTGTGTGAGGCAAAAGGGGAGAGGTGGCTCCCCTAGCACTGGCTGGCAAAGGGCCCCAATGGTGACTCCTGTGGAGTCCAGGCCCACACAGCATGAAACAGCACCTTGCACTGCCCATGGCCCCAGCAGGTGAGGCAGTTTCTCAATGTCCGCAACCCCACTGAGCCTCAGTTTCCTTATTGGTAACATGGAGGTGAAGGGGACCGTTCTGGCCTTACTTAACTTCAGTATCCTAATCCCAGTGGGTTTTTTTGTTTTTTGTTTTTTGTTGCTGGGGAGAGAAAAAAAAAGGAGAGCAAGTGCTCAACTACTGAGCGACTCTCCCAGCCCCCGTGACGTTTTTGTTCTACACACATCTGTGCCTGTTTGTCAAGACACTTTTGGCGGGAACATCAAGACCACCAACCATTTGTGGCGGGTCTCTGTGGCTTCACTCATGAGGAATATAAGAGGCTTCCTTCACTGTGTTTTCATGCCAGAAAAAATCCAGCTTTTCCCTTTCTGCTTGCTTTTTCCTCAGTGACATGCAGTGACCTATACCCAGCACTTTGTCACACAGAAGCGCGCGCGCACACGGGCACACTCACACACGCACACGCGCACACTCACACGCACACTCACACACACGTGCACACACACATACGCGCACACTCGCACACGCGCGCACGCACACGCGCACACTCACACACGTACGCGCACACACGCGCGCGCACACTCACACACGTACGCGCACACACACGTGCACACACACATACGTGCACACGCGCACACACGCACACGCACACACGCATGCACACGCGCACACTCACACACATACACGCGCGCACACGCGCACACTCACACGCACGCGCACGCGCACACTCGCGCACACTCACGCGCGCGCACTCACACACGCACACTCACACGCACTCACACACGCCCACTCACACGCGCGCACACACACACGCCCCCGCACACGCACACTCACACGCGCGCACACTCACGCGCGCACACACACACGCCCACGCGCGCACACTCGCACGCACACGCGCACACACGCACACGGAGAGACTGCGAGGACAGGGTTATGGCCTGCCAGGGAACCTATCAGCACATTTGTGGTGACACTTTTGTGGTGATGCCCACCCTCCCACACAGGAGGCACCTAGCACATCTTCAGGGCCACTCTCAGCCACAGACGTCAGCTGACAGCCCAAGGTCAGGCCCCACAAGAAGTCTCAGCTTCCTGAGAAATCCCCCTTCTCGGTGTGCTTTGCGTTTAGATAAAGTCTTTTGAGTACAAACAATAAATAATGTGTATAAACACCAAAGTTTGACTGGGGTGTAGCTTAGTGGTAGAACATTTGCCAAGAATCCACAAGGCCCTGGGTTCCACCCCTAGCAGTGAAAAAAGTAAAATAAGAAATAAATAAGCAAGCTGAGCAAGGTGGCTCACACCTGTAATCCCAAATTTGTGGGAGGCAGAGGTCAGGAGGATCTTGGCTTGAGGCCAGCATAGGCAAAAAGTATATGTAAACAAATAAGCCAGGCACAGTGGTGCACACGTGTGAACCCAGGTACTCTGGGGGCTGTAGCTAGGATCATAGTCCATGACCAGTCCTAAGCAAAAACAAAGACCCTATGTAAACAATAACCAGAAGCAAAAAGGCTGGAAGTGAGGCTCAAGTGGCAGACCCCTTGCCAGGCAAATGTAAGGCTCTGAGTTCAAACCCCAGTACCACCAAAAAAGAAAAAAACACTAACACCATTATTGGTACTCTGCAGGTGCTGACATGCAACCTGAGTTGGGAGGAGTGGGACAGGGCTTTGCCTGTCCACCTCTGAAATAGCTACAGGACAAGAAGAAAATGCGGCTTTCTGTCATTTTTCCTTGGCCAACACACGCCCACTCTTTCAGACTGCCACACCACCGATGCTGGTGAGATAAAAATAGAACACCACAGGCAGGATGAACAAAGGAGGCCTACTAGTATTAAACCTCACCCTGGGCTTCCTGCCTACCAAGGCCACAACCCAGGTGCAGGCTGGTGACAGAATTCCTATCGTTGACACACAGACAGCCTCAAGCTTCCAGGAAATACTCCTTTTTCCTCTCTGGGATAAAGTCCTCAGGAGAACCCAACACTTACAGCTGATTCTGGTCTGTGCCAATGGCTCAGGCCTATAATCCTAGCTACTCAGGAGGCAGAGATCAGGAGGCTTGAGGGTCAAAGCCAGCCCCAGCAAATAGTTCAT